GACTCAGAATGAGCATGCAAGACCGACGAAACCGAGGGGCCAGGGGGCACGTACCCCTCCATTTTTTTTCTAACGAACGTTATTTTTTTTTTTTTTTTTTTTTTTAAATTTTGATATAGAGGACTTTCTTCACAAATTTATGATTGTGTTCCCCCACTTCAAAACCCATGTTGTCGGCCCAGGCATGAAATCTTTTGTAGAGTGAAGAATTCATGATACCTGATTCAAGACAAGAAACTAACTTCTAAAGCGACGCTTGACATTTGAAATGCAATTGGGAATTTTAACCGGAGGTTCAATCTATCTAACCGGTTCAAACTTTTCAAGTCATTTTAATTGATTTACTTTTAATAATAGTTTACCAATTCTTCAAACTCATTCTTGAAGTTTGTAGGTCTATTAAGATTTGCAATCAAGTGTCTAAAAGGTAGCTCATTAGTATGTAACATGCAAATTAAACAAAAACATTTTCTTTGATAAAGCATCTCTGGGTTAGTTAATAGTTTGCCATTGTTACCAGATTCAGTCATTGAAAAAAAGAGTCGTGGAATTCGATCTAATCACCATAATAGTTTGATCAAATCCTTTAGGAACTATCCAGTTAAAAAGACCGGTAGCAGATTCTTTAGTTGGTTTGTTTGTATATATATATATATATATATATATATATATATATATATATATATATATATATATATATATATATATATATATATATATATATATATATATATATATATATATATATATATATATAGACCGCAACCGTGTTGCGCGGTTAGAGCGCTTGCTTTATAAGCAGGAGATCCAGGTTCGAAACGAGCCTTGGACATATTTTTGCGTCACAGTAAGGAAGGAGGCGTGAGCTTCCTAGTTAAATGCCATTACGCGGTACTCTGTGACAAGACCTTTAAGTCTTCTTGGAGCACCTAAATAACAAATATATATATATATATATGGGGCACTTAAATAACATATATATATATGTATATATATATATATATATATATATATATATATATATATATATATATATATATATATATATATATATATATATATATATATATATATATATATATATATATATATATATATATATATTTGAAGTTTTGAATTTATATTTATAATTTTATGTATGTTCAAAATTTCAACTAACATTGCTTCTCATATGGTGCCCCACCCAAGACCACCCTAACTATACAAATTTTTTTTACCACACTATTAGTCCCGGCTATGAGCCCAAAGTTCTTTTTTGGGCCAATTTTGAGCCTTTTTTTATTCAAATTGCGGGGACTTATCCTATAGGAATATTCTATTATCAAAATTTCTTTGCAATAGTTAAAAAAAATTCCAGCATTTAGCAAATCAGCACTTCACTTAAAAATAACAATCAAGAAATTGAGATTTTCGCATGTCAACAACAAGGTTTAAAAATCAGTTTACATTTAAAAAATCACAATATGTAAAAAATTAGCTTTTAATTCCTTACAATAATATAAAACTTATATAAGTATATTAAATCCTATTGAAACTATGAAGAAATTATTGAAACTATGAAACGGCTATTAAAATAGCGCTGGTAATTTAAAATATTAAAATAGCGCTGGTAATTTAACCGATAGCCACACTTTAATTAAATTGTTTTTTGTAAAAAAAATCCCACCTACTCTTTTATTAAGACCACAACCCCCTTCACCAATATTTATTAGATTTGGACTAAAACTCTTACCCCATCACTTTTATTCTAACCTTTTATTCCCCTTCACCGTTCTTTGTATTAAGCATGTACTTGTATTCGTGGTTGATCAAGGAAAAGTTTTGAAAAAAACGTTCATGTAAAAATTAATATTTAAGTAAAGTAGGAAAAATTAAAAACAAAAGAGTACTATATTTACATAACCGTAATACATATTTCAAAACCAATTTGTATGAAAGCAAAATAAATAACAATTAATTGATAGTTAAAGAAAAATTTCAAGAATTCAGATTAGACTTCAACAATAACATTCAAGATTAGATGTAATATCGTAACTAAGTTAATAAAGTAAATGTTAATACATTCTGTGACATTTATTTTTAATTTAAAAGAAGCATTTAAAATTGGGTATATAAACAATAAGTTATTACAACTGTTTCGATTGACTTTTACACTGTTCTAAATTATCTTTTTGTTATTGAATTAAATATGTAACTAGTTTTGATTTTTATATAAGAATAATGTAGTTTTAATAGAAATTTTGGCGGGTACGAGCTACTTTGTTTAAATTTTGGCGGGTACGAGCTACTTTGTTTAAATTTATTTCATAGACATTTTAATGCATTTAATGTGCAAAGTATACTCAAAAGAGGCTATGGCAAAATTCTATCAGCTCCAAATAATATTCTGCACGCGTGTTTTTGTTTACTGTACAATTTTTTTAAATTTTCATAATTTGTACTTCCCCATTTTATATTATAATAAATCAAATGATATATATTTTTTTAAGATTTATTCTTCAGAATAAATTTAGTCTGCAAGGTCTTAGCCTATGTAGAGTTTGTATCTAAATCATACCCCACTTGCAATGATTTTGACAACTTAAGTAATTCGCAGAGAAATATAGATATTTCGACTGATTTAGGGGTACGCGCAGTAGAGTGTACATACAACGACTGATTTAGGGATAGGCGCAGTGATAGTCGATGTGTGTTCAACATTGACTGAGGGTTTTGGTTTGGAGAAGTATTCTAGTCTATTATTTCATTGTTCTAATATTATAAATACTAATATCATAAAATCTTTACGAATGTCATTTAAATAATAGAAAAAGTTTTCTAATTACTAAAGCATTCAAATACTTCTAAACTTAAATTTTTTTTTTTAAATTTTAGAGGTGGGACTTCTATACAATGAAAAATGTGAAAATCTCAAAAAAAAAAATTTTTTATTTATTATAATTGCTAAAAGATCAAATTTTATCATAAAATTTTAATTTGTGACGTTTTTGTAGATATTAACAGATTTAAATACAGATTTGAAAGAGCTTTAAAATAAGACAAATTTCATTTAAATCGCCCATTAATTTGCCGAGTTAATTTTATTTTAATAACTATACATAAAACTCGGTATTTTTCCGAAAAACACAATTTAAGTTAAACTATAATAATTGTCAAGCAAATCATCAAGCTAACATAAAAATTAAGCTTTTCGTATGTCTCTTCTCTACAATGCCTAGGCTGCAAAATATGATATTAATCATGAAAATATTTTAACAATTAAGTGAAAAAAGTCTAAACTTTGCTTCCTCTTAACATGCCAAAATTGACGGTATAGATTTAGCGGCAAAATTTGAAAGTTCATTTTTTAAATCAGAATGCAATGATGTAATTATCGATAATATTTTTTTAATTATTTTCAAAGAAAACCTTCAAAATAAATAAAAGTTTAAAATAAAAATAAAACATTAGTTTTAAAATATTTAATTTAAAAAAAAAAAATAAATACAAAAATTAAAAAAAAATTATTTTTTTTACTTTTGTCTTGAAAGTTTAAGTTAAGCTCAAATTAACTTCAATGTATTACTCTCTACGTTTAGGGCAGGTAAACTGTATAAAAATCAACCACTTAAAGTTATTATTAACCAAAAACAAATATTTAAATACCAATTTTCCATTTAAGATCCCTTTCGACGGTCTACTTTATTTTGCCACTGCTATACTATCCTTGAGATTTAGATCATAATAGCGCATGAATACATAACCTATTAAATCTGACGTTATTCTACAGTGAATAGAAAAAGGACCTTATGTGGGTTATATGACTAAAACACGCTGTATCTCAAAACAACTATTCCCATTAAAGGTCCCTTCTTCCAGATAATCGTAACCATTTACAGAATATCTTTTGCTAATACTTTATAAAACTTTTTGGAAATTTCCACAAATGTTCGTTACTAGTATAGCTAGAAAATGACCTCTCATTGAAGAGTCGCTTATTCAGATCTGTACATACGAAATTTTGAATAGGTGAGTAAAACTGAGAAAATCACCAATTTTTATGAAAATTACTATATTTTTGCAAGTTTTGATAGCTTGAATGTGAAACCAGCACAGATTGCAGTTTACATAGTTACTAAACAACTTCAAATTTCAAAGTTTAACAGTCACCTAAATAATTATTATTTATCATTCAATGATTAGTAATCATGTAAACAGTTTGGCCCCTTTTTGGGACCAAAACTAACTTTTTAATAAGGATTAAAAGAAAAAACATATATATTTTGTCTTCATTTGCCCATATTTGTAATTAATATTTTATAAAAATGTGCACCTTGAGTACCTTAAGCAATGACCATTGTTACAATATAGTTCACTATATAGAACTTAAATACAAAAATTGAAACACATAGATCATCCAGACCCTTTTTTAAAAATCCGGAAAATTGTTTGGGTAAAATATCCGCAATAAATTTTTCTCTTAATTTTGCTTTTATCTGAATTGTTTCTAATAAATTTTTCTAACTTTTTAGTTTTGTATGAGTGTAAAAGCTTAAAAAAGAAATATATTACAAAAATATATACCTAAACTCGTATGTATGGAAAACATTTTGAATATATGGAAAAACTAAAAGTTTAGAAAAATATCCGGATGAAGATAATCCCTGGAAACACTTTTTTAATATTAGGGCCCATTTAAATACAAAACATAAATTGCTTTTTTACAATAACAAAAACAACTATAAACAAATAAATCAACAAACAACTAACAACTAACTTATCGTTAGATACTAACGTAACTAAACAACTAACTTATCGTCCTTTTACAAAAGCTACTACGACCACATTGAGGACATTAGATCAATAAAATTTATTAAAATTGTTAAATAACTATTGGAAATAGAAAAATATCAAAATAAATAAATGTTAATTGTTATGTATAATAAATAATGCTATAACTTTTTAAACATTTAAAAATTTAAGTTTTTAACAAATACGAACAAATTTTCAATCAATAAAAATCAACCGAAGATCAATAATTTACTAAATCCAATATCTAGATACAGTAGAGTTGATTAAACGTATCTGATTGTCACAAGTATGATAATCGTTTAATAAATATAAAATTGATAGGATGCATTTGATCTCAACAGGTTAACAGCAACAATACGAAAACCATTGACAACAATAATTAACTCTTCGTATCTCAGAATACCTGGTCGTCATGAAACTTGTGGTTTTAAGCAAATTCTGTACATATTCTATTCTGTTAATTACATTGTAATATTTAATAAGTTCATGGAAAAAATTCTCGTTGTTTGACTGACTAAAAAAATTTCATAGTTTAACTAAATGTTCTTCAGTTTTTTCCATGGGTTTGACTCTAAAAGTGAAGAGGCTGCTCGTCTTTTACGCTAAAATTGAAAATAATTATTTTTAAACAGAAAAGTGCATGCACATGTTTATTTATTACCTTTTAAAGTTAAATTTCATTTTAGCGAGAAAAAATAGCAGATATATACCGCGCTGACAGCTGATAACGGCACAAGTGAGTCTATAAGCAACTGATTGCAGCCAGCACTCCTGGTATCCTTTTAAAAAAATATCAATATTTTGGTTAAATAGTTAATTATCATTACTAAAAATAAAGAAAATAATAATTAAAAAAATCTCGCTAAACCATGTTTATTGTAAAGCATGAAAAGCTGCTTACCTCAGGAGTTTCAGGAGGAGGTTCTAACGACATACCTGATAACAAATTATTTTATCATAATTAAATGCTATTCAAAGAAGTTGAACATAAAAAAAGAAAAAGCATTGAATAATATACCAACTAAGTCGGCAGCTTTTTTCCCCGGGTACAGTATTTCATAACGATGTCTGAGATAAAATTATATATATATATATATATATATATATATATATATATATATATATATATATATATATATATATATATATATATATATATATATATATATATATATATATGTATATAAATATCTATATATATATATATATATCTATATATATATATATATATATATATATATATATATATATATATATATATATATATATATATATATATATATATATATATATATATATATATATATATATATATATATATATATATATATATATACGCAACATCAACAATGCTTTTCGATTATCTAAATATTATATTGTATTATTTGACAGTATTCATTATTAAAGTTGATAATGCAAGCATCCATGACCAATTGGATAATACTAAACCACTAATCACAATAAAAAATTGAATATGGATAAAATTAACCAGAAAATTTCCTTTTCTTTTTATATGTTAAAAAAAATTTCTTTTTCTTTTATAAGTTTATGTTAAACAAACATGTTTATGATAACAAGATTTATCATGTTACTAACAACTTTCTTGTACTCATCATATCCTTATATCAAATACAATAAACCTTACGCCATTATGAGTACAAAAATAAAAGTAAACAAACAAGAGTTACGTTATTAACAACTTTTTTGTATTTATTATATCTTTATGTCAAATACAATAAACATTTAAATTTAAGTTGTAAAAAAAAGAAAAAAAGAAAAAACTTACTTCATGCTCTGTAGTTCGTATTCACAGTTTCCCATTGCTTGTTTTAACTCATATAATAAAAGTAACTGATTTCTGAAATATACATTAAAAAGTAAATGATTTCTGAAATATACATTAAAAAGTAAATGATTTCTGAAATATACATTAAAAAGTAACTGATTTCTGAAACATACATTAAAAACTGATTTCTAAAACAAAACAAGTTTAACTCAAGGAGAGCCAATCACAATCATTTACAGTTTTACTTATCAAACTCTACCTCAATTCATTAAAGCTTTGACATATCTCTTCGGTAGGCATCGGTATAATATCTATATAATAGTTATAAAATAAAATATAAATTTGTCATTATTTCTTCACTATTCTATTATCATCAATACTCTAAACACTTTTCTCTATTCTTTTTTATTTTATTTCTGTACAACATAAAACAAAGAACAATTAGTGATTTGTAAAAATTATCATATAAATTATAAAAATATATTTAAACGTATAACTAACTGTATTGTACATCGGAAGTTAATTTATATCATTTAAATCTAAAGCATTTAAAATCAATTACTATTACAACTTAAACATTTAAAATCAATCATTATTACAGCTTTAACATTGATTCGATCTGCTAGGTGCTCAGCCAAAGCACAGAATATTCTTCCACAATTTTTTATTTTGCGGGTTTTAACCTGCTTTGTTGAAAGGCATATATCTACTACACTGTGGGCGTTTTTGTGTTATTTGTGACTAGGTCGTGTTATTTGTTGATTGTTACATCAAATTTTTTTACTATATATTTTTTTAAACTATTAATTTAAAAGTGTAATACTCTTTAAACTAAAAGATTTCAAAAATAAGGAGCTCAGGTATATCTTGCATTTTTGAGGCAATTTCAGAAGATGCTATAGATAGATACAGCACGAAGAGCTCTAAACTTCAATGGAAATTACAATTATATGGTTGCCTTATTTATTAATGCACATTCTAAAACTTATTTCCTGAGATTAGTTGAAACTCAACAACCAAAACAAAAAAAAATTGGAATGCTCTGAAAAAGATTGAGATGTGTGACATGCATCATCTTTTTCAGTGAAGGTTGATCCTCCTTAGTGAAAGGCTGCTTGACAATGATGAATCTAGTAGCACCGGTGATGATTCATCTCTACTTTGTAAGAAAAAAATATATAAATAAAAACAATCAAACCAATCTCTACAAAAAATATGCACTCATATGAAGATTTAGAAAAGAAATGTCTGATTGCAAATGAAATAGATTTTAACATGAAACTGTTCACTTAAATTGGACAGAAAAATAATTAAGAAGTGGTGGTCAGCAAGCACAAAACATTATCCTAACAGAACTTGCTAAAAAACAGAACTTGCTAAAAAACAGAACAAAATTTTCTTATAATTAGCTATTGGCAGTGTCAAATATGATAGCAATTTGTTACAATAAAAAACAAAAATAAATAATTAAATGTAATCCTTTTTTATGCTTTTTTTTTGGTTACAATCTAGTATTTGGTATTCGGCCAAACAATTGTAATATTTGACCGAAAAAATTACAGAATAAAAAAATCAGCAGAATAAGCAGAATATATTTTTATAGTCAGAACAATATTCTCAGGATACAGACAATATTCTCAGAACAGACATCTCTAATTATTAGCAAACTTATATAAATCTAATAATCTAATATCTTATCTTGAGTTCAACAATACACTTTCTAAGAAACTAAAATGAACTTATATACTCTTGTTCTACTGCTGATTTGTTAACCGTAATAACAGAAACATTCCGTTGTGCATTAAATGGAATTGATGACACAAAGATTATCATTCTTGACAAATAAAAAGTTTTCAACAAAGTCTAGCACACTGATTTTCTCCATAAGCTCTCTTCATGTAGTATATATGCAACAATGTTAAATTTTTTGTTGATATTCTGATAAATAGAAAGACCACTGATCTTCTTGAACTAACTTTCACTACTTACAGAAACCATATTTTCAATGCATTGCAAAGTTACTATTTTCTAATCTTGTCTCTTTTAATCGTGCTTATCTTTTTATTACTCCATAATTCTCTTTATTATAAATCTTTTATCTACCCTTGTATGCAATACTGTTGCCTTTTTTGGGCTCATTCTTCTAATGACCTTTTTCTTTTAGTCAAGATTGAAAAACCTATTGTAAATTTATGTGGATTTGCTTCATAAAGCTTTTTTTCCTCTGACCTTAATACTTTAGAATTCTCCCTTAATAATTTCCTGATTCTATTAATAATTTAATAACTTCCTGATTCTACAAGTTACATTTTTTTAAAGTCATCTGTCAACTATTTTCTTAATTTTCTCTTTTAATTTCTGTTAACTCTTAACATAAATGTACTTATTTGAAAAAAACAAAACAAGTTTGGTTTTTATATTTACATATGTAATTTAAAGGCTATATTTTATTTTCTATTATATTTATTAAAGTATATATTTTCTTTATTATTAATGATTGTGAAACTTTAAATAAAACAATAAAGTTAAAAAAATTATAATAACAAAAAAAAAAAATCACTTATATTTTGAACCTTTGAAATTTTTTTATCGAGCCATACTTTATATAATTTAAGCATTTGACTTGCATTTTATAATATTTTTAAATACATAAAAATAAAAAGCTTCTTTAAAAATTGAAATGACTTACCAACTCCTAACTCCTCCAGTAACTGTTCAACGGCTTTCGATTTCTTATTACCAATTGACGGGGGCATTTTTAACTAAAAAAAATTTTTTTTGAATGAGTTTTTAATAAATATTTCATTTTGTTGCATTATGCGATATAATAGTTAGAGTGGATTGAAAAATAGACTTTGTTTAAAATTGTTTTCTAATAGCTCTAAACATATGCGATATAATAAAATATCACTAGATTAACAAAAAATTTCGAAATTTTTTTTTTTTTTAGAGGTGCTTTAAGTCCCTTGAACCTAGGGTCCCTAATATTCTTGAACCTAGGGTCCCTAATACTCTAGGGAAAAAAAATTTTCAAAAGTAGGTCAACCTGGTACTCAAAAGAAGTGAAATTTATAAAAAGTTCGAAAATAATAATTGTTTTATAAAAAAACATTAAAAAAATAAATATTATCAAAAATTTTGTAAAAATGCACTTTTTTTATTTTTAGTTAAAGAACTATAGTTACAAAATTTAAAATAATAATTTTAATATAAAATAAATATTATTTTTGAACTTCTTATAAAATTTTGCTTCTTTTGAGTACCAGGTTGACCTACTTTTGTAGAATTTTTTTTTCAAAAATATTAGGGACCGTGTAAATGTTCAATTGACTTGGGGCACCTCTAAAAATAGTTTTTATTCAAAAAAATTTTTAAATCCAGTGATAATTTATTATATCGCGTATAATTTAGAGCTATTACAAGACAGTTTTGAAAAATTTCTGTTTTTCAATTTAACACTTTCAAGTTAACACTGTAATCTTAACTTGCTGCATATTTCTGGAAGTGATAATGGACTAGTTAATGAAATATTTTGCAGCAAGGAATAAACATAAAATGGACACGGATCCCGCCGCCGCCGCCGTTATTGCTTCGAATAAATAAAATCAGAGTTTTACAAAAGCACATTAAAAAGATTTCAATCAAATTTAAATTTTTAGCTTAATTTTCAATCTTTATTACATTTTTATCTTAATTGAATTAAAATCTCCATCGTTTTTGCAAAAAATCACTTCTATATATATTTGTAAAACTATTATATTTTTTTATATGTAAGTATTCATAGTATTGCATTAAAATTTATTGTGTCAATGTCTACACATCTTATCATAAAAATGAAATTTATTGTGTCAATGTCTACACATCTTATCATAAAAATGAAATTTATTGTGTCAATGTCTACACATCTTATCATAAAAATGAAATTTATTGTGTCAATGTCTACACATCTTATCATAAAAATGAAATTTATTGTGTCAATGTCTACACATCTTATCATAAAAATGAAATTTATTGTGTCAATGTCTACACATCTTATCATAAAAATGAAATTTATTGTGTCAATGTCTACACATCTTATCATAAAAATAAAATTGATTCTACTTACTTTGCTACTCCTCAGGAAAACACCAGAACCTTTGATATCTGGAAACTTCACACCACTTTGATCTTTATTAATAGCTTTTAAATCATTTTCCAAACGTTTCTTTTTTTTGCCTAATTTTTTATTACTTAAAGTAACAACATAAACTAGAATTAAATATATATATATATATATATATATATATATATATATATATATATATATATATATATATATATATATATATATATATATATATATATATATATATATATATATATATATAGACACACACACACACACACACACACACACACACACTAGTGATCAAAAATTTTAGACACAGAATAAAACTTATAGTTTCTTAGTGATTTGTGATTTAAAAAAATCTTGAGTCTAAACTTATGAACAAAAAACTTGTTCATAAGTTTAGACTTATGATTTTTCACTTTAAGCTGTAAGTCAAGTTAATAAGGTATGTGACCGCTTTTGTTAGCTATGCAAAGTCTACATTTTCTTTTAATAGATTCAAAAAGATTTCGACAATATTCAAAGGACAAGCCATCAAATAACTCTTTTAAACTTTTTCCTAGTTCTTCAGCTGAAGTTACAGAAGCTTTGGTCAGTTTTCGATCAAGCACAGACCATATATGTTTAATTGGATTTAAATCTGGCAATCTAGCTGGCCACTGGAGTAAATTGATTTTATTTTCTGTAAACCAAGCTGTTACTGTTTTTGCTTTGTGACAAGGGGGATTATCTTGCTGAAACTTTCATTCTGGCTCATCTCCAAAAAAATAAGTCTCTTGTTGGAATCAAATGATTTTCAAGTGTCTCGATGTAACTGTATTGGTCCATACTACCAGTGTACAAGTAGCATAGTCTGGGTCCATCATACAATGTATAACCCAGATCCCAACTGAACCTCCTCCGCCCTGTAACCAAGGTACAATGAAACGATTATGAAACTTCTCATTATGGTGTCTTCGAACAGTTACTCTATTTTTTCGATTAATGACTGTATAATTTGATTCGCCGCTGAATACAACTTTTTTATATCAGTATCACTCATCTTAAGAATTTTCTTGCAAAACTGTAGCCGTTTGAGTCGATCTGATCTTAAAGGCATTGATTTTCTAGCAGCAGTATATGAGCATAGTTTACGATCAATTAACCTTTTATTTACTGTCTGTTTTGAGAAGTTATTTTTAAGAGCTAGATTTATTTCTTGAACAATTGTTTGGCACTATACTTAGGATTTTTTCTGGCAATTCTGTACATACTATTATCATCAGTGGTAGTTGTTTTTCTGGATCTTCCGGATCATAATTTTATCTAATGTGTTACCCGTTTTTTTTCTACTTAGCTATTGTTTTAGTGACACATGACTGCGATACATTCTTGAGAATCAACTGAACTTTTCTTGTAGAATTACCAGCAAGGTGCGAAGTGATAACTCTTTCTTTTATTTCTTTTGAGACTGATGTTTTACCCACTTTCTGAGTAAAAATTGTATATTTTGATTAGCGTGCACTAAGTAAGTAAATAATTAAATTTTTAAATGGATTTAAACATAATATTTTAGAAAATATATTTTGATCTAGGTTAAAATTACAATCTTTAAAAAAAAGGTTGGGCACTTATATGGAAATAAAGATAGAAAAAAGTGAGTCTAAATTTATGAAACACATTTTATTTGTTTTTAAATAGCGCTATTATTAAAAAATAAATAAAAAAGACCAATATATACAATAAAAGGTGTGTGTGTTTTGAAATTATGTTGGAAACAAACTAAGTTAAACTTAAAAAAAAAATTTCAAACATCTTAATAAATATATTTGGCATTTTAAGAGCAAAGCCTAAGAAATTTTTTTTTCTGAGTCTAAATTTTTGATCATTTGTATATATATATATATATATATATATATATATATATATATATATATATATATATATATATATATATATATATATATATATATATATATATATATATATATATATATATATATATATATATATATATATATATATATATATATATATATATATATATATGTATATATATATATATCAGGCTTTCACAGGAAGACAGGCTTTCACAGGAAGACCACACAAAAAAAAAATGTTTTAACGATTTGACCACGGCGTATTTTTATAATTTAAAAACGCGCTACAATAACTTACCTAAATCTATATGAAAAAAAAATTTAAAAAAATAATAAATATTAACAAAGAGAAAATAAAAAAAAAATACTTAGTTAAAGCAAAAACACAAAAAAATAAATATATTTATTTAACGCAACTAAAACAAAACTCATCAAACTAAAATGCTTAGTCTATTTTATTTACGCATTAAAAAACCTTTTCAATCCTCGTTTCAACATTTTTATATATTTTTTATTTGTTTAATATGTTCAAAAGTTAAAAAAATACATAGTTATATAAATAAAATAAAAAAACATTTTATAAATACTTTTTTTAAAATTAATTAGAAGTGTTTTTTTTTTACTTCATTAAAAGCGTTTCGATAATATAAAAGCATTTAAGATCAAACTCATTAAATTGTAACGGTTTTCTAAAACTTTTTTTTAAACAAAATTTTGTTTATCTTTTTAAATGCATTAACTTTAATCATTCTTATATTTAAATTCATTAAAGAGACTTTCGTAGTCGTAGAATGTCATCGTTTATAAAAACAAAACAATTTTTTATTTTTTAATAAGATTTATTTTAGAAATAAACACTTAAATAATTTATATGTTTTAAATTTAAAAAATATATACAACTGTCAATTATATTTAAAAAGCAAAACTTTTTTTCAGTAAATTGTTACCTTATTTAAAATCGTTTCGCTAATATAAAAACATTCTTTAAGAAGTTTTGATGTAAATAATTCTACTTTTTTAGAATATTTTTTAGCACGTTTCTAAAATGTTTTTTGAATTAGCCGCGGTCAAACCGTCATTGCAAAATGTAACTTGCGTGTTCATATAAATCCGTGAAATCTCACGTCTTCCTGTGAAAGCCTGTATATATATATATATACAGGCTTTCACAGGCCTATATATATATATATATATATATATATATATATATATATATATATATATATATATATATATATATATTTATATTTAAATACTAAGTAAAAATTTTATGTTTACTACATAAAAACATAAAATTTATATATATATATATATATATATATATATATATATATATATATATATATATATATATATATATATATATATTTATATTCTAAGTAAAAATTTTATGTTTTTATGTTTACTATTATGTTTTGAATAAAAATTGATAATTCAATAAGTGTATTTTAATTAAAATTATAATTATTTTTGATGAGTTCAAAAGTTTGCGGACAAAATATTTATTTTTAAAAAAGTTGGAACTTTTAAACAACTTTCTGATCAAAATTTATTAGAAAAATCAAAAGTCAAAACGCAAAAATATTAAACTTATTTGTAGGACTATCTTTACAATCAAAATGCTTTGCATCTATGAGGCATAAAGTCAACTAAGTTAATGCAAACATCAATGGGAATTGACAGCAACATTTCTTTGATTTTTTGAATAAATTAGCATGATTTGTAAGTTTAATGTCTAATATTTGATGGTCAATTTGTTATAATCAAAAAAATTATAACCTATAATTAATCAATGATATCTAATCACAACTCAGTTGATTTGGATATCAACTAAAAAATTTTCAAATCAATTTGCTTGTGTGTTTTGGAAAAAAAACACATTTGCATGTCACAAACAAGATTTTTGTGATAGAAACATTGCAATTCATTTCATAAGAATGTTTTATTTGTTCATTTACATTAATAGCTGTCAAATTGAGTTTTTCCTTGCCTATTATTCATAGATTTGACTTTATGAAAATCCCGGAACATTATTTTATTAAAAATTGATCGTATTAACTGAAAACAAAAACTTTCATAAACTTTTAAAACGGAATTTAGATTATTTAACTTTTAACAAAAAGGAATTTCTAATATTCGAAAAAGTTAATATGAATAAATTCAAAAGAAATTGTTACAAAAATTGTTACAAAAATTGATCTTGTGAAAATTTTAACTATTAAAAACATAATTGTTTAAATGCAAAAGTTGTCATTTTTAAAGTTTTATGTAAAAATATATAATTTTTTTTAAACAAATTAATCACAAAAAACATCTGGAAATTTCTGGAAAATTAAAGGAGTTTTAAGTGAATTTCTGGAATTCCAGGAAATCCCTGGAAAAAACTCATCTATGATTATTGCAAGCATTTTATCCTGACGATATGTTGCAGTCTTCCAGATTTTTTTAAATTTTGGTAGAACTTGTAAGTTCATATCTCTTCATAATTTGTTATTCAGCAAATTTACCGACATACAATTATGCTGCCTTTTGAAACGAATTTGGATTTGAACTGATCTTATTGTCAACATTTTTACTAGAGATGTTATACTTTTCTTATACCCCATGATCTCAATCACTTATAAATGAAGCTTTTTAATATTGACAAATTAGCAATATTTTGGGGAAAATGTGAAATTCTTCAGTATGCCTGCAAACTTTTGAGCTTATTAAAAATCATTATTTTTTAAATCAATTAAATATTTAATAATAATAATAATACTCTTTCAAAACATAACTGTAAACATGAAAATCTTTTATTTTGAATATAATATTTTGAATTTAGTTAAGTAAGTGCTGAATTATTAGTAAAAATCATTTTTACTTGGCTTGACCAAAATTTTTTGGACACTACTATATATATATATATATATATATATATATATATATATATATATATATATATATATATATATATATAAATGTATATATATATATATATATATATATATATATATATATATATATATATATATATATATATATATATATATATATATATATATATATATATAAATGTATATATATATATAAATGTATATATATATATATACATATATATATATATATATATATATATATATATATATATATATATATATATATATATATATATATATATATAAATAAATATATAGGGCCTATTCTAGGAAAAAAATTTGGGCGGCAGTACCCTCCGATTTAGCGGACTTTAGCGGAAAATCAGCATTTTTTTCACAATATTTGCTGTAAAAACGTAAAAAAAAAAAAAAAGTCCTCAAAATTTAACACGGTCGACACTGTCGAAAACGGTCTAGAATAGCCCTTGATATATATATATATATATATATATATATATATATATATATATATATATATATATATATATACATCTACATTACATGAAAAGTAATCCAAGAAAATTGTTCATAGAATCACAGAGAATTATTTAAAATTAAAAAAAAAAAATTTATTTTAAAATTTTTACCAAATTCAATCAGCTAATGATCAATTTATCCAATTAACATTTCACAGTTATTTTCATTTTTTATTCAGTTATTTTCATATTTTAGAAAACTGAAGAAATGTGTTTAAAATTATTTTTCAAGGCTATTTTTTTAGGCTATTTTTTTAAGGGCCTTTAATTAGAACTGTCATCTAAATGCAAAGATTCGCAACCCAAACGCAAAGATTCAGCATTCATTTATGCAATTGAACAGTTTGATGAGTTATTTACTTTATCAAAAATTAACACAGAAAATCAAGCTCCAGACTTATATTAGACCATCTTTGTAGACTGGGTTTCTTGTTTCGAATTACAGCTGCAAATGCAAAGAAAAGATTTTGAGGTTCAAACTCATGAAAATCTTTGTTCTAACTTGTTTTAGGATCTTTGTTTTAACTACAATATCTATAGAGGGAAGTATGACATATATGACTAATATAATTGAGACATGATCTTTTGAAAAAAGCTGCAGATGAGTAATAATGACCAATATAATTGAGACATTACCTTTAGAAAAAGTTAGGCATACATATTTTCTTTTAAATAAAGTTTTAAATACTTTAAGTGATTTTTAAAAATATTATAGAAAACCAACTACTAAAACATTTACATACTATAAAATACCAACAACTGCAACATTCATGTGAATCACTGACTTTTTATTATTTAACCATTGGTGACTATATATTATTAAAACTTTACATCATATATCGTTCAACTAGATACTTGATGAAAACTTCCCTTTAACTTTCTATGAGCATCTTTTATGACAACATATATTCATTTATAAAATCAAAAGTTTTTGATAGAAATATTGTTAACTTTCATGTAAAGAAACATTTTTAATGCTTTATATTATGTTGTAATATATATTATACTAGTATATATCAGTATGTCATTAAATTTTAACTTAATGAACTAAAATTGTTTTTTTTTTTTTAATTTGCCATTTTCTTTACCTTTCAATTTTTTTTGGTTTTTACAATCAACTGCATTTTTTGTAACTGCATATTTTTTATAAAGTTGTCAAAACTTGTTTAGAAGAGTTGTAAAAACATTATACAAATTTTATATTTTCATATTTAAGATTTAAAGTTAAAATTTATTTGAAATTTTAGATTTCTCTTTGAAAACTCAAACTAGTGAGGGGGTGAAAATTTATATCTTTGCCTAAAGCACAAAACTGTTTAAGGCACTGTATTTAAAGTAACAACAACAGCTTTTATATATATATATATATATATATATATATATATATATATATATATATATATATATATATATATATATATATATATATATATATATATATATATATATATATATATATATATATATATATATATATATATATATTCACAAAAAAAAAAACATATATCAAAAAAGGTAAATGAAAAATACCTTTGGATGTCACTACCATTTAATCTAAACCAAAAAATTTGATTAAAATCTTTTTTCAAACAACAAATTTAAAGAATTAATAAACACCAAAAGAATCATGCAAGAAAACTGAAAGTGAAACTGAAAGATGAAGAAACTGGAAGAAAATATTAACTTCAATAAGTGCTGTTGCTCCAACATCTGTCCTGGTTTGGCATCAACTGCATGGATTAATTTAGTTACTTCTTGTGATTTACGTTCACGATCTTTTTTACGTGACTCAATTTTCTTTAGTTCACTAACAAGCATTTCTTCTTCTTCAACCTAAAAATTTATTTCAACAATTTAAAACAATTTAATCTTTATAAGGGTGACAGTTTTAGTTTTTCCATTTTATTTGTTTGATTTCAGAACACATGGTATGCCTCATTGGATTTTATGTAAACTTCTTTTCCAAAACCTTTTTAAATTCATATAATTTTAAACGACAAAAGTTTAGAACTAAAATGACATAAAAAGGTCTTAATATTCTCATTAATGAGATAATATAATAATGCCAAATTGAGAACTTGCGCACTTGATTTTTACTGAAACATACCAAAATAACTGTTAATAACAAAAAAGTTATAATTTTTTATTCATTTTATATTTTTCTTCTAAAGTACTAATCATCGTTCCATAGCAGAACTTTTTTTTACAAAACTTAAGCCATTTCAGAGAAGCCAGAGAATAGCTAATTAAAAACTCAAGGATATTAAGACTATACAAGGAGAATTATTGGTTTTTCAAGGATACATTTTTAATCTTTTCTTGACCAGAAAGAAACAAAACATGCTGGTTAATAAAAAAGTATGAAAATGAAAAATAACTTAATATTTAGTAAATGTTAATAATACTGTCAGTAACATTAAACAAGATTTTTTTTTACCATAACAGAATATATATAATTCAGTATAAATTTACGCCAAACTAATAACAATTCTGTAAAAGCTGAAAAGATGATATTGAATTAGTAAACTATTTCAGAAAAAGTTCCAGGATTTCCCAAATTATTGCTAAAAGGGGTGTTTTTCGAGAAATTTTTCCAAATCATATCAAATTAAAAAAAAACAAACATTTTAATAAAAGATCAATTAAAACCAACCAATAAAAATTGTAATATCTTAAAAAGTAAATCAAGTAAATTATAATGATGCAAATGAGTGCAACTGTTGTTTATGTATGTAAGAAAAACTTAGTTGAAAAAACTATCTAATTGTTTATTTTTTTTTTAAAGTTTATTGTTTATTTTATAAAAGTTCTAAATTATTTACCTGTTCAGGTGTTCTAAATTATTTACCTGTTCAAGTGTTCTAAATTATTTACCTGTTCAGGTGTTCTATTAAAGATTTGTATAAGTTGTTCTTTTCTATTTTTTTCATGTTCTCCATCAAAATTTGGTGGCAAATCTTTTGGCTCTTGGCCAGGTAATGTTCTCACCTTTAATAAATATAGATTTTTATAGATAGAACTTTATTGAAATTGTTAATGAAAATTAAATGTAAAAAGATATTTTAAAAAAATATTCAACACCAGAATATAAAAACAAAGAAAAACAAATAACAACTTTGATTAGTTTTTGAACAACATTGTAGTACTTTTGCTTTAAATCCTCCATACATCGATCCTATTATAGAAAAACAAAAACAAAAACAAAAAAACAAATACAAGTGAAACTAATTGAAGATATAAATATATGTCAAACAAAATATAAAAAGAACCCACTGGATACTTATCAATATCATATCTATCAAACATGATAACAAATCTGCGATCAAACTGCCTAAAATATTTAAGTTTCAAACATTAATTGACAAATACAAAAATTAAGTTAACTTTTATAAAAATTAAAAATTTTAATTTATAAACTAGAAGAAACAAAACAGTACAAAAAGATACAAAACAGTACAAAGGCAGAGTAAAGGAGGGATTTTTAGGAAAAAGCTTTCCGCTTTTATGTCCAAAAACTATGAAAAATTGACTATTATATAAATCATTAAACATTTCAGCGTAATAGTTTTACATGAATGACTAAACAAATGGGACCACATGTAAATTAATAAGAAAATTATTATCATTTAATTTTACTATTATTAAATAGGTCAACTAAGTTTACATTTTTTTTTCAAAAATCACAAAAATGTTTTTTTAGTTTTCAAAATCACAAAAAAGTTTTCAGAATCACAAAAATTAGGATTAACTCTATAAACAAAAACTGTTTGTCTAGAACAAATTAATTAATTAATTAAAACAATTATTTTAAGAAGATATAGATAATTTTTTTTTTTTGTTTCTTTTTCTCAGTTGTCAATAAAATGATATTATTGGTTTAAAACAGGTACAGACAGAAAATATATCAAACAAGTATATAAAATATACTGCCACTATATTTCACTGTATATATTAAACAAATTATACTACCAATATATTTCACTGTATATATTGTAAAATATATTGTATATTTTACTAAAAAAACAACAGATAAAAAACAAACTATCAAAGAAACAACAAAAAATGAAATATTTAAAAATAACTTTTCAATTTAATCAAATAATTAGTTTTTTTTTAACACTATACTATCAGTATAACTAAATATAATTATTGTTATAACCTTGATAGCTCAAACAAATGGTCTAGTTCTTCTCTTGTCCACCCATCACTTTCACTTTGAAGATAAAGCTAGTAAAAAACTATAATACTTTAACTTGCAATTTTGTATTTTAAAAATATTATCACATAACAGGTTCTCAGCAAACATTTTTAGTTATTATGATCGCATTATATTTTCTCATAATAGCCTTATTAAACTATTTTCATATGTTATTACATAAGCAAACATGCTGCATCATGATAACCCTTTTTGCAGCCTTTTTAGAGAACTTTTAAACTAAACGCATTTTTAAGATCTTCAAACTGTGGCGTGACAGAACTGTATTAGTTTCTGTCATGTGAGGGTCATAATGATAACTCTGTTACTGGTAAAATGTTATCTAGCAGATAATTAGAGATGTTGTGTCAATAAAACTTTTTTTGGGCAGGTGCTAACACTAGTTTTCTAGACAGACTAAAGAGATAATACGAAAATTTCTGTCAACCAGGTTCACACTTCTTCTTCATCTATTAGGCTTGCATAGATGTAAACTTATGCTATATTGTTTCCAGCCTACACTAAACCATCTTAAGGGTCAATTAACAGAACTGAGGCAGCCACATAGCTTTTTTCTAAGGGTGATATGCACTATCTATGAATGAGTCAAGTTCTTATATAAACATGAAACATGACCATAGTATCTAATAAGTCTTGAAGTAACTTTTTATCTAATAAATTTTACCTTTTACAAAATTCACTAGACCTTTTGTTTTTTGTGAGACTAATTTGAATTCAGCTGTTTCATCTTCTTGATTTTGACGGTTATTATCTTAGTAATACTTTGATTTGTAAAGACTCCAATAATCACATGCTAGGCCTGGACATTTACTTATATATCAATGGACCATTCCCTCTAAAGAAAAAACTGCAATGCATTGGTCTTTGTATTCACTGAAAATAAACAAGTTAGAGTTAAAGTTTTTTAAAATAAACAGCCAAGTAATTTAATTTAAAAAGACTTTTCAAAATGATTTCAAATGATACAATATCTTGTGCTAAACTAATAACTCATTCTATTAAAGAAAATATTACTGTTGAGTGAACAATAACTACAAAATACCGTGGTGGCATAACTTGTTGTGTTCCATTATGCAACAATTCACTCAAAAACAAAAACATCATTTTACATCATCCCAAAGGAAAGTAATTTGATAAAAAAATGGTTCTTTAATTAGTAGGAAAAACTTAGTTCCTTCTGTTTCTCATCGAGTTTGTTCAGTCCACTTTACAGGAGGAAAACTTATATGAACAGCTGTCCATCTTTACTGCCAAAACAAGGTAAAGACAACATGAAAAAACAAGAATCACAGTAAGTAGTTCTATTGGGTATAAGAGAAAAATAGACGAAATTGAAAATGAAAAAAGTGACGTTAATTTTTCATTTGAAGAAACTGAGCCTGAAAAGTTAAACAAAGAAATTATTATCCTAAATGACAAACTGAACATTATAAAAACTAAAAAAAAAGAAATAAAAAATATTATTATGAATCAAAATCACACTATTAATCAATTAAAATTTACAGTTGACAGATTTAAACATAATCAAGTCCAGTTTAAATTTTATACTGGCTTTGAATCATACAATCTATTTAAAGTTCTACTAGAATATTTAGAACCTGCTGCAAGCAAACTTATATATTGGGGGTCAAATACAAACATTGAAAAAACAACAGATTTCAGTTACAATAAAAAATTATTTTTAGTTTTAACAAGATTTCGTCTAGGCTTTATGGTTGAAGACATGGCGCTGCGCTTTGACATATCCTCAAGTCATGTTAGCAGAATCATTGTGACATGAACTGATTTTTTGCATTCTCAAATGCTATGCTACCAATTTGGGCAACAAAACAAATTGTAAAAGAAACAATGCCAAAATGTTTTAAAGAAAAATATGAATCAATAAGGGTAATTTTAGACTGTACTGAACTATTGCCTACATCTTTTTGAAGCCAGTCTGCAACTTTTTCTAATTATAAATTAAGTATAGAGGAAAAGGATTAATTAGAGTAGCACCAAATGGAGCCATAACTTTTGTTTCTAATTTATACTGTGGTCGTTTTTCGGACAAACAAATTACTAAAGATTGTGGCATATACAACCTGCTTGAACCAGGAGACAGTGTAATGGCAGATAGAGGTTTTGATATTGCTGATGATTTACCAGAAAATGCTTTATTAAATATACCATAATTTCTAAATGAAAAAGCTCAACTTGGTCTAGAAGATGAGAATGAAACTAGAAAAATTGCTGCTGTTCGTATTCATGTAGAAAGAGCAATACAGGGAATAAAAAATTATCACATTTTACAAACACCATTTAAATTGTCAATGACGCCAGAGATTAATAAAACTTGGATAGTTTGTTATTATTTAGCAAACTTTTTGCCACAACTTGTTTCAGATAAATAAAATGTTTGTAAAAAATATCAAAACTTTTAATCTAAACTGCAAATATATTTTCTTGAATAAACTCAAAGTGAAATTTAGTTAGTTTTGGTAAAGTAGTTTTTTCCCATTGCTCTTTAAGAAATTTAATGCTCTCAATAAAAATATCTTTTTCAGTATAAACTATAAAATCTAGTTCTTTAATCTCTAGTAATGCTATAATAACTTGACATTGATAAAAATAAACATAATTTTGATTAAGCATTTTTTTGCCATCAATAACAGCAAGAAAAAATGTTTTATCTAGACAAGCTTCAGCTATAGTTAAATCTTTTTTTGATTAAGGACATTTGATTTCAATAGCCCTTATTTTTTATTTACTAATACAACTCCATCAGGGCTTGTACCAAGCCAAGACCATTTTGAAATAATGATAAATCCACATCTTGTTACTGATACATTTTTTTATATTTTCATACTATTTTATTGCGGTGTTTTCATTTATTTTATTATTCAGATATTGATGTTTCATAGTAGGACGTGGAATGAAAATTGTTTCCTTTTAAAAGATTTGCAAATGCTACTCCTTCTCCCAGATTATATAAACTATCAGAAATTTTTTTTAATTTTTTCATCGATTGGATTATGTGCAAAAATTGGGGTTGCACAAAAGTTTCTATTTCCTGATACAAAAGGACTCGTAAGTTGTTTAGATCCTTTTCTAAATCACTATTTTCAAAGAAAACTTTAGAAAGGTTAATTGGTTCTGAGTTTTTTCCTTCAGCAGGAACATGCCATTGCTGTAAAACTTCTGTGCATGTTTTATCGAATAGTACAGAGTTTAAATTTAATTGTTTATATTCATTTAACTGAAATAATACTGCAGCAATATGCTTGCAGCATCCTCCCATACCAGTTTTACAATTACATTTAGCATACAAAACATCTCCTTTTTGACAAAGATGTACATAAATAAGGTACTGATTTTTTTTTATTGAAGCTGAAACATTAGCTCTAAGAAGAAAAGAATTTATTTCAATGTTGACATTAGGTTTAACAACTAAATTTTTAACAAAGTTCTCCTTAAATAGCTGATACCCAGAGATTTTATGCTTTGAAGCAGCTCTAGTTCCAAAATCAGTCGAACTATCGTCTATAATTAAGTATTTGTGTATTTTTTCTTGGCGTATATTAGGTAGTAAGGAAAGACATCTTGACCAAGAGCTTATTTGTTCCTGTACAACTTCTTCAGCATCTATTTGATTAAACTGACTTGATATTTCTCGAAATACTGGTTGAGTAGCGATTAAAATGTTTAAAAAAAAACATGGATCAATATCAATAGCATTTGAACCATGTTTCTAACTAATTTCATAGCTATCAACTTTGTTTATTGCTGACATGATATTTATATGCTGACATTGCTGACATGATATTTATATGCATGACGTTTATATGCTGACATATGTTTTGATATTGTATTTATTTTCAGTGAATACAAAGACCAAAATGCACTGTAGTTTTTTTCTATAGAGGGAACGGTCCATTAACCTATTTGTTGTGTAATCAGGTTTAAATCCTTTGATCATTCTTTTATGTGCTTTTACTAACCATCTCTTCACTCTATTATCTTTCTCTTTGTTCTTTATCGTTGTCTTTCTTCTCAAGACAGCACTCTTATCGATGTTGTTTCTGATCAAGTTGACCAAACCCTTGCTTTTGCTGACTTTAATGTTCATCACACTGAATGGTTTGGCTTTAATACCACTGACCCTGCCTGCTAATATTAGCTTTTCTCAATTTCTTAATCATCACACAACTTATTATTATCTAAAGGATTACCGGGGTTCTTATTGTGATTTTTCGTGATGGCCCTTGGGATAATGTCCATTGTTATTTTCTGGATTTAGATAGGCATAGAAACTTTCCTTCTTGTCAATTTCAAGTCAAACCTTACTGTAACCCTTGATTTTCCCCTTATGCATAATACTACTCATAATTATTTCTTTTATTATTTTCACAAGAGTAACTCTCTTGAAAACAAAATCTTTTTATCATTGCAAAAAAAAAAAAAAAAAATCAGTTATTTCTAGATTAATAAATCTTGTAATTTATTTCAGAAATTAAGTTCTGGAGACTTTGAAAAATTTTTAAACATGTCATCAACAATCGAAAATTTCCATCTTCAACTCACAGCTCTGATCTAATTACCTCTCCCGAGGACAATGAAAAATTAATTGTAAAAAACTTTACCTCATCTCTTAAACCTAATGACCACCTTTTTCATGTTATTCTAGAGACAAAGGCTAATCCATTGTTAGACATCCTAAACATTGCTAGACATTGTTACTTATGCAGCTAAGGTTATTTCTCACTTAAACACAGCTTGGTGTCCAAACAATATTCTAGCCATAGTCTTGAAAAAGTATTATGCAGACTTTCTTCAATATAAACTATTTAACAAGTGCTTAACTTTATCTTGCTTTCCTGCCAGCTGGAAAATGACATCTTTGGTTCCAATTTTAAAAACTCTGGATATCACTCTGATTTCTCCAAATATCGCCCAATTAGTTTTTTCTCTATTATTAGCAAGGCCTTTGACTATTAAAAGTTTCAAACATCTTGTGTCTTGACATTGAATCTAATAACTTACTTTCTAACATTCAATATGGACTTTAATCATCTCATTCTACAACTGACTCTCCAACTGTTGTAATTAAAAAGTTCTATTCTGAATTAATTGGAGTCGGTGAAGCAAAGGTTATTACTCTAGACATCAAAACTTTTGATAAAATCTGGCATGCTGATCTTCTTCATAAGTTTGCTTTATATGGTGTATCTGGGAAATTTTTTTGATATTATCAAATTATTTCTTTCTAATCCTATCATTTAAACTGTCCATGAACACTCTTTCCAATACACTGATGCATATGAAGTCATCACTTTTTAATCACTTAGAAGAGGCAGCTGCTCACAAGTTAATCAGCTGATCAAGAGCGGCACTTCTCTTTTGGATCAGCTTGAAGTTGGTGGCGAATTTTAATTTAACCAAAACTCAGTTGTTTACCACTGAGAATTATTGCAATACTGTTGATATTCCTATATTGATAAATGAAAACAACTATTTATTTTTAGTCTTATTGGTTTATCTTAGATTAGTGACCATTGCAAAGCTAGCATCTGGTAAGGTTGCCTTTTTTTCTTCCACACATCCATTTTCTTCCTCTTGATTTCATTCTCTATCTCTATAAATCTCTTATTTGTCCATGTATGGAGCACTGTTTTCACGTTTGGCCTTGTTCTTCTAATGATGGCCTTTCTCTATTTTTCTAGACAAGGTCAACAAACTTATTTTAAATGCAGTTGGACCTGTTCTAGCTTCCAAGCTGAAGTCACATCCTTGTATTGTATTTGTTCTTTTGTGCTCTAAAAACATTTATTCATCATGCTTTTTCCTAGCACATCAATGCTCTGGAATTTTTTTTTTACCTATGTTTTCCTGAATCATACAATCAGAAATCACCAAAGACATTTTTAAAAATTTGGAAAACAATTTGCAAAAAAATAATCAGAAACTTTTTCCCTCATATTTGTCTTAATTTAACTAAACTAATGGCTTTCTCAATTTTTTTGAATTTTTTTTCTCTTTTGTATCAGTGATGACTTAAAGATTAAGAACCTATATACTGCAAAAATATACATTTAAACTTGTATTTACGGAAGACTTGAAAATCCTTGGAAGATTAGAAATCAGAATAAACTTGAAGTTAAAGAAATATCCAGAATTCTGGAAAAAGATAATCCCTGTACAATTTACAGTTTTTTGCCAATAAATTTCTTGCTCTTTAACTTTACACTTTTTTTCTGGTAATTTCCAATTTAAATAGTGGTTGCTTGCAGTCTTGCTAGAAGTGAGTTAGTTTAAAAAAAAAAAATCAAATTTATGAAATTACAAATCAACAAAGATGTGGTAGCTGTACCATTGTGCAACAAGTTGTTACAAGAAATTACAAGTTGTTACAAGAAATTACAAAACAACAAAGATGTGGTAGCATGTACCATTCCAACAAAATATGAAAAAATTAACAATAAATTCTTGCAAAATATTTTAATAACAACATAAATATTTCAATGACACTATGGTATTAAATCAACCGCTAATAATCCAACCCAAAACTTCTTTCATTAAAACATTAGTATAATAGTGTATATACTTATTAAATAAAGGAAAAATTCCCTTAACTTGAACTTATATCTCATATCAGCCAAAGTTCAACTTAACAGGACGCTTTAGTCCAACATTCGTCAAATCAAATCAGTTTACTTGGTCCCTAGGAGGTTTAAGTTATTGGGAATTAACTGTATATCATAAGATCATTTATCATAATCAAATGGATCACAAGATCACAATACAAAATTGTTTTTCCAAAAAAGTAATCCATTTTACGCCAGTAGTAATCCATTTTACTGGATGAAAAAAGCTTATTTACTGATGAATTAAAGCTTATTTTTCTTAAAAAACTCTTATAAATATTTACAAATTAATAAAAACAAATACTAAAGCAGAGTAACAAAGTAATGTAAAGTAACAAAACACATTTTTATTGCTATTAAGTATTTATTTTTTGATTAATTGAACTTTACTATTTTTGATCAAGGGGAATGTATTTCAAACTTGAAGCTTATGTTATCAACAATCTTCTTAAATTGTGCAGTTCATTCTTTAAAGGAAAGAAGCAGAGAGTAATGATAGAAATTCAACAAGGCTTCAACAAAAGTGTAGGACCTTTTTTCTTGTTATAATTATTAATGATATCCTAGAAATAATGACACATTTTATTAAGCTTTTTGCAGACAATACAAAACTTATTGCAATCATAAATAATTCAAATAATAGCATTTCATTTAAAAAAGACATTGACGCAGCTGCGAAACGGGCTTATTATTAGCATGTGAAATTTAATAATTATAAATAATACTAAATGCTATTATGTATATAAGAAAAAAAAATAATAACACAACACAAATACATACACAAATTTAAGATTTAATAATAAAAATACATACACAATTTTAAGATTTAATGAAATGTTTAAGAATTGCAGCATGTATCCTAGCATGAATTACAACTGTATCCTAGCATGACTTTGGTATTATAATTACAAACAATTTGAAATAGAAAAAGAATGCTAAAAAGCTGCGTCAGAAACTAATTCTATTCTCGGAATATTTATTTAATGAAGCATTAAATCATTCAAAATCTTGTACACATCATTTTTAAGACTTCATCTAAAAAAAGTTTCTTTAGCATGGAATCCTGACACAAAAAAAGACATTTTTTTTCTGTAAGGATTCCATGTAAAACATTTCAAAAATATTTTATTGTTTAACTAAGCTTAACAATAAAAAAATTAAAGGAATGGTAATTGATTATTTTAAAATCTCCAACAGCTAAATCAACTGTATGGGCATCAGTTCCAAGGACCTGCAGAGGCAAATGGAAATATTCTACACTCCATTATCAAGCAAACTATGATGAAAATAAGCAAAGACAAATTCTTCTTCACTAATGAATCATTACACCTATTAGAATCAACTGCCTAATCTTGATTTTTTTTTCAATATTGACAGAACTTCTGTTAAATATAAGATATCCATTTTGAAATTGAAAAACCTTCTCTCAATATACACTTAAAATTATATACCATTACTATACCAAAATAAGTTTTCCTATTTATTGAAATATTTCCTAACTTTTATTATAAATTACTTTACACCTGTATAAATTTTTTTAATGCTCAGTTATTATTTATTTTAGAATTTTTTTTTTTTTGACATCAAAATCATACAGAATCTGACAAATTTTAGCTATTTTTAAAAAAAGAGTCAAAACCTATTTTACAATGAAATATATTTATTTAAACACTTACTTCATATTCCTCGTCTGAATAACTGACTTGATTGTTCAGCTATAAGTGAAAATTGTTACTTAAATAATGACAGAAAAGTAATTAATGAAAGAACAAAGTGAACCAGGAGAAAAAATCTTTTTTTCTCTTTACAATATATATATATATATATATATATATATATATATATATATATATATATATATATATATATATATATATATATATATATATATATATATATATATATATATATATATATATATATATATATATATATATATATAAGTATTCTTCTATAAAAAAGTAAAACAATGTTTTTTTTATTTAGTTAAAAAGAAACTTATGAGCTTATAGTTGATAGGTTTCAGTTTTTTTTTCTTCTTTCTTGATTTAAAGAAACTGATGAGCTTATAGTTATTATACTTATTATCACTTATAATTCAATAAAGGAAAAATATAAACAATGATTTACAGATTCAGGTAAATATACCTTTCCAAATTTTGCAAATGGGTATTCTTTCCCATCTTCTTGCTTCCTACGCCAATGGTAAAGCATTAGATTGTCTGATCTGGCTGGATTTAAAAATGAGGTCCACCTCCATTGTCGCACAACGCTGCGCCCAATTTTTGCTTTAGGCTGTTTATAGCTAAAGCCAGTGTCAGTTGGTGCAAGTGTTGGAGGATCCCTATGTTATATACAAAAACTAATAACTAAAAAATTTAAAATTTTCTAAATTTAATTTTTTGGCTTTAATTTAACAGAGTGGCCTCACACTCATTAATATGTTACTGATAAAAAGTTAGAAGATTTTATTATTTTTAAAGGAGTATTTTCTATATTTTTAAATGTGCTTATTATATTTAAGTAGAAAAACAAAAAAAATATTAATTTAATAATTAATTAAAAATTAAGTGATAAAACTTACTAAATATGTGTTTGCTATATTACACAAGTTTCTATTACATTTTGTAAACTTCCAAATTATTTGTAAATTTTTTGTTTTTAAAACATTTAGCTAAATGTTTTTTTTTACAATAATTTTTCTAATAAGAAAACTTATTGAAATAAATTAATTTAAAAATTAATGCTGAAAAAATGCTTTTTTTATTGCTTTATAATAAAAATTTTGAATTCAAAGTGTTTTGAATCAAAGGACATGAATCCAGAAAAAGCGGTTACCCTGTCCTATTGAGCCACCTTGTTAACATTTATAATAACCATAAATTTAATTCTGTGAAATCGATTATTATAACAAGAACTAAGAAAAGAAAAATGAAAAGTCTATTGAAACACATCATACACTTCCTACCTATAATCACTTTGCAGAAGTGCATACAATTCTCTGTGCATACCACCTGGTTTTTTAAATGTTCCTTCAGAAAGTCGCTTAATCTTCGGCTAGAAAAACAATTCAAGATTAAACTTGAGAAAAGTGCTTTCAGTACCACAACTTAAACTAACACAACTTTAAACCAGTTTATACATAAATTAATCGAGTTACATGTAAATAGTTGCAACTATTTAAACAACTTTGTAATTTATACAACTCCAAGAAACTTGACCTACTAAGTAGACTCATTTACAGTTTCTACTTACTAGACAAAAGTGAAATAAAGTTGTAGATGTCAAACTGAAAATGTATAAGTGGGTGAAAACATAGTCAAAATATAAGTGGGTGAAAACATAGTCAAAGTAGTTTCTTAACGGTTTGGATAATAGTAGTTAACAAAAATTTAAGAAAGTTTAAAGATACAGATAGTTGTAAGTTTTTATGCTGAGGCAAGAAAGTAAGCAGAAAAAATTGGATAGTGCATATATAAATAAAACCAATTAAAACTTTAAGTCATTAACAGCATTTAAAAAAAAGGTAAAAAAGTTAAAGACATGAATTTTAATTATTTAAAACATTTAATTAAAAATTAATTAAAAAGCAACTATTGTTGTTAAAGTAATCTATAAAAAGATTCACAAAATAAAAAAAAATAAAAACAAACCTGTTTGTTTAATTGACACTCTAAAGAATCCACACCCAAAATTTCTCTTGCATCAACCATTTTATACAATGTTTTTTAGTTTACTTTATAAATAAAATCAATATATTTATTATTACTAGTTTTCTGTAGGCAAATATATATATATATATATATATATATATATATATATATATATATATATATATATATATATATATATATATATATAAAATAAGAATAGAATAAAGATAAAAAGATAAAGATTTTGTAGATTTAAGTTTACTTTGTTGAAAACTAATTTGTTTTCTTAATAAAGCATTGAAGTATGAAAATAAATTCATTTGCTCAATAAAACGTTTTTATTTTTAGTTATATATTAAAAGTTTTATAGTTATAAGCCTTTTTATTTTTAGTTATATATTAAAAGTTTTATAGTTATAAGCGTTTTTATTTTTAGTTATATATTATAAGTTATCTTTATATGATTAGTTAAATGGTTGTATAAGCGTAATATATTAGTAAAAAAAAGGTTCTTTTCAACTTTCATACCTTGCCTGATCAAATTATTATCTAACCCCATATCATAGTTAATACGATGGTCTATTTTGATATATGATATAATCTGATATATTTTGAAACAATTTTTTATTTGGTACATTGTAACATCAATAGTTATAAAATAAGACATAAGTTCAATCAGTTTAATTTATTTCATATATAATATTTATTTCATATATAATATTTAAACAATATAATTACTCTATATAATTTTTCAAACAAAAATAATTTTCATTAATTTTTATTTAAAAATAAATTTAATACAAAGATTTTTACTATTAGCTTGATGTAAAAAAATAAAATAAATAAAGAACAATTTATGACAAAAAAAATTGAATTGGCAAACAAATACGATAAAAAAACTCAACTTTAATAAACACTATATTGTTTATTAGAGGGTTTTTTAATATTTTTTATATAATTTTTTTTTCATAATACAACAATATTTTATTTATTATATAATAATTTTAGTATGCAATTATTTATTATAAACAATTTCATTAAAGCTGTATAAAAAGAAAGAAAGAAAGAAAAAATAAAAAAGTTCAAATTCAAAAACAACAATGCAGTATGTTCAGAAAAATTTTAAAAGATTCTGAACAAAAACTAAAAAAGACATTTTAAAAATAAACAACTTATGTTATAACAGTTGGAGTTGTGCGTCCTGTAATTGAAGACAAGTTTGAAATTTGAAGAGCAGACTCTATTAAAGGCTTCAAAATAACCTAAAAAAACAAACTTTAATGATTACACATTGTTGACTTAATAGAAGCAAGAGTTAAAAGTAAGATAATATAAATAGATCATATTGTAACCGCACAATACTATTTTTTTTTTTATAGCTTTTAAGTCCTGATTTAAAAAAAAAATATTTTTAGAACTAAAGAAAAAAAATTAAAGTGAAGGAATCAATAAATTTGAAGTGAATGAATCAATAAATTTGAAGTGAGTGAATCAATAAATTTGAAGTGAGTGAACCAATTAATGGCAATCAAGTTAAGCTATCGTCATTTTGATATTATTTGATATGACTTATCAAATAAACCTTTAGAATAGAGAACAAAATATTATATTTATTTTATAAGTAAACAGTTATTTTAAAAATTTGCAAAAATTAGAGTATAATATTCATGCTTTGAAAATACGTTTTTTAAACTGTTAGTACCTCTCCAAATTTTATTATTACAGGTGAAGAAGCTTTTTTAATTCTTTTTTTCGAATTGTTACGACCTTTTCTCAACCTTACAACAATAAAACACACACATCTAAAAAAGTACTCAATATTAAAAAATTTTAAATAGAGTTTTCCACAATGAAAGTGAAGATTTACCATTGCAAAAAAAAAAACTGCCCATTTTTGTCGCAACATTAGTACTGAAAAGTGGGTTGTACCAGATTATGCTCTGTTTGTGATTTTTGGATGGGTCTGGTTTTTTATTTAAATGATAAGCAAATTATTAATTTTCAGAATCACAGTATACTATATAACCAATGCACAACTGAAATAAAAATCAACAATTCTTTATGCCCTCTGAATAATCAGTGCTTGACAAAGAACATCATCTATAAAGTCATCATTTCATCAAATAAACGGGATTACAAAGAAAAAAATTTAGCTTATGTGAAACTCCATTCAAATCTCGATATGCTAATCATCTAAAATCTTTTAACATTAATAAATGATACTGAACTGTCCAAAGAAATTTGGAACATAAAAGTGGAAAGTTGCAAAGCAATCCAATTCATACAATTCTTTGTCAAAAATCTGCAGTTTTTGTTTATATAAAAAATTACACATTTTAACATATCAAGTTAAAAACCTATAAAAAAAAAAAAAAAACAAGAGGAATCCAAAATGCAGACACAAGAATAAAACAATGAACAATGAAAGAAAACATTGCTACCCCATCATAAACCCTCAGTCAATATAGCAGCACTCCTATGCACCAACAGACTATAAGATAATGTATATACTGAAGCTTCTGCCAACAGGCTATTTCAGTGTGATGTTACAGTGCTTATCTAAACACGCATTTAGTTGTATATATAGTGCATTATATATACATATATATGCGCTAGTGAATGTTTTGGATATCCGGAAAAAATTAAAGATAAAAAAAATTTCTAGAGATATCTGGAAAATATCCCTGATATATATATATATATATATATATATATATATATATATATATATATATATATATATATATATATATATATATATATATATATATATATGCACTGCCCGGCAAATATTTCCAGTCACTCTGTTTTTTGTAAAGAAATCTATAAAAAACAAGTTAACTAACTACAATTAACCAAATATAATTACAAACTAATCAACGTCTCTAAACCTATGATAAAAAATAAATAAATTTATGCAATACATCACAATCAAAAGTTTATATATTTTTTTTCATCAAAAAATCCAACCTTCGCTTTCCTTACTGCACAAACAAGTTTTGGCATACGCTGGATTAAATTATCCAAATAAATTGGAGAAATGTTATTCCACACTCGTTGTAAAATTGTCCACAAATGAGTTGATGTAGAACACTCTTTTCATACCTCATGAGTTGTTCCCAGAGTAACTATTGGGTTGAGATCAGGGGATTATGGGGGCCATGTCATAACTTTGAGTTCTCCACAAGCTTCCTTTTTTTGAAAATAGTTTGTACAGTATTTAGATTTGTGTTTTGTTCATTATCCTGTTGTATGGTGAACCCGTGGCCAATTAGACGCTTTCCACAAGGGATGGTATGTCTACATAATGCCTTATGATATCCGTTCTTATCGAGAACTCCATTTATTTTTACAAGATTACCAACCTGATTAGAAGAAAAACAGCCCCAAACCATTACTGAACCTCCACCATGTTTGACAGTAGACTGTATATATCGTCTATTTCGTTTACATGAAAGTATAATTGACTTATCTTCAGCCTTTGATGTTATGCAGGGACGTCCAGTTCTTTTCTTATCTTTACTTGTAGGAGTACATTTAAACCGACGAATAGTATCACTCACTATTGATTGCGGTATTTTCAACAATTTTTGAATATATCTAGTAGAATGATCATCATTTGCCAGAGCAACAACTGAAGAACGTGTTTCTAGTGATAAATTACATTTTTTTGACATTTTATACTATTTTCTAAAATTTTAATCTAAAAATAATAAAAATGCACATTTGTAAACTGGAAATTAAAAAATAATATCAAAATAAAGTCAATCTATGAAATAGCTTGCTGATGGGGGCTTCATACATCAATCTTATAGCCTGCTGCTGCAAAGGGGTGCTACTGAATATTTACAGAGATGTTTTTTCCATAAAGGAATTGGTGAGCTGTATAATAACCAAACTAATTTACTCAAAAAATATTAGAATTTAGTTTCATAACATACAAGTTCAAAACAAAGAAAACTTGATAGATTGGTGATCACAAAATCTCAACCCAATCAAAATATTTGATCATGAATTGATGCTCACCATCAAATTTTATAAACTGAGCAAATGAAGCATTCTTTAAATAAGAACTGGTAAAGATATAACATAAGATGTGCATAAAATTTGTTGAACCAATGCAAAGAATAGTTCTATTTTTTTGGGCTAAAAGATGACAAATTTTGAACAAAAGGAGGACAAAAACTTTCACTTTTTTTCACTTTTTCTGTCCTCAACCTTTACTTGATTAAACTTTTATGCAGAATATAAAATACAGGAAATATCAAAATTATCAAATAAATGTCAAAATCTATATTTACTGTCTTCCAAAAACTCTGTGTTTTGAGCTTTGAGTTGTTGGTCTGAACTGTGTTTGGTTTGAACTGTGTTTTGGTCTTGAGGAAAGTTATACTTATATAATATACTTCATATAAGGAATATAGTACATAATATTAATACATATAACATTAATATACAAATAATTAAAATATAAAAATTGAAATATTAAGACAAAATAAAAAAAAATTAAATAAAAACCTGTGGATCCTCTGTTAATTTGGATTTATCTGTTACAAAACTTTCAATATAAATACGTATTGTAGCACCTTCAGATCCAGTTCCACTTAGACGATAAATTATTCTTGAACCATCTTCGAAAATTATGCGAATACCCTGAAAGAATAATGTAGAATTAATAAACCTTATTATACAACAACATATATACAATAACCTATAACAAGCTACCTTATAGTATAGCAATAACTATACTATAAGGTAGGAAGAGACCAGGGCCCCAACTTGGCCCCTGCAAAAATATAAGATTTAGCAGAGGTTGATAGCCAGTGCTAGGAACAAATTTATAATACTTTATATTTTATAATTTTATAATTACATTTATATTATATTTATTAAATACTGGCATATATTTATATATTTTTAAACTCTTATTTACTTCCAACAAGGTTGCAAGCAACCAATATTAAGTTATGAGTTTCTTTAAAATAGAGAATAGGGTTAAAAAGCTAGGAAATGATTAACCGAGGACTTAAAAAGTTGTAGGTTGTATAAAATATGAAGATGGGTAAGAGTTATAAGATTTTTTTTTAATGTGCAAGTTAAAAAACTGAATTAATAACAGTTTTTATAGCATGAAGGGACGAGTACAGTAAAAGGATACAACTTGTTGAATAAGAAGCTAAGCAAGAATGAGTTTTGGTTGATCTAACTGATGATTATGATGATGATGATGATGATGATGATGATGATGATGATGATGATGATGATGATGATGATGATGATGATAATGATGATGATGATGATGACATTGATGGCAATGATAATTTCGATGATCATGTTGATAATAATATTGTTTATATATGCATATATAAACAAAATATAATATGGATTTTGAATAAAAATACTTTAGAATGTATAAATGTTTATGCAGCAAAAGATTTGTAAGTAATAGTTTTAGGTACATTGTTTTTTTATGAGTAGTAACCCTAATAAATGATTAATGTTTTTATCAAACCCATTTCATTTATGATTGATATCATCAAAAATTAGAAGTAAATTCAAGGAATGATCACAAGCATACCGTAATTTAGTTATTGACATGTTTAAGCATGGTAACCCATTAAGGTTGATAAAAGAAGTTTTTGAAATATCATAAGGAACCATAAGGCACTTTTATAAAAAGTACACAAAGTTTAGATATATGAAACCATCCATCATTAGGAGTTAAGCATAAACCAATATCCAGGATTGATTAACAAATTATCAAGATGGTACAAAGGCAACAGTTTTTATCTGCGCTAAAAGTATGAAACCATTTGAAAAAAAAAGTTTATGACCATTTATTATTTAAAACCAATTTAGTGGATTTAAAGTTTCCATGCAAGAAACCATTCTTTTATCCATCAAGACTGAAGATTTGCTGAAAAATATGTAAACATGCATAAAAAAAAAGTAAAATTTGTTAAAAGCAGTGACATGGTGTGGGTATTGATGGCTTGGAGCATGGAAAGCTGGTGTTCAGTAACAGAAATTTGAATTCTGAGGTTTATATCACCAGTCCTTATATAAATCTTCTGGCTTCAACAGAAAAACTGCAATTAGTGCGGTAGTGGTGTAGTGGTAGAGCGCTCGCTTCATAAACGAGTGGTTCCGAGTTCGATCCCCACCACGTCCCTGGTAGTACCGCGCTCAACTCGTTTCTCTGCGCAGCGGCCTTGTTCGTCAAGGTTCGTGTTTCGGAGTTATAGAGTTGAGAGAGGGTTATAGCCACAAAATAAGTAGCCTCCTCGTCTGTAGTGGCCTTCTCGGCCTTGAGGAGGTGAAGTAAAAAAAAAAAAAAAAAAAAAATTGGAAAAATATTTTACATTTCAACAAAAAAATAACCCTAAGCTAATGTCAAGTAAACAAAAGAGTTTTTATCCAGAAGCTTTGATTTTCATCCTCAAGATTACTTGAATGAATGAATGAAAAAATGAATGAATCCTGAATGAATGATTACATGAATGGTCGGTTCTAAATCAAAATAATGAAATTGCAGAAAAAAAGTTTAAAAAACAATCTAAACTATTACTAACAAAACAATATAGAAATAGTAAATTAGTTTATATATATGACTAAATTCCAGCTTTGAAGTTTTGATAATTGTGTTTTAATTTCAATTTTCAAATGATTTTAATAGAAAAAACTACAGAAGTTACAGCTCTATATAAATCATTTCAATATTTGTGGAATTGCTGTTTGCTTCCAATATAATTATTTTTTTAATCTTTTTAAATAGAAATGCTTTTTAAATAGAAACTATAAATTAAATAGAAATGCTTTTTAAATAGAAACTATAAATATAATCAATTAATACTTGTTTTTCACTGATGCTTTTATCTATTGGATCAACATATCGGAAGTCATCAGCAACTTGAACAACATGCCCATTAACTTCTTTCAGTTCACCTTCTGCAATCAGTTTACGCAAGTTATTAATCACTAGGTTAGCACTTGCACAATCAATACTTTCATAATCATATCTAAAAATATGAAAGAAAATCTATAAGCAAAAGTTGCAAAACACAAGTCAGACAAAATAACTAGTTGTAACTAACCCCAGCCTTGTGAGCACCTACCTAGTAAAATAATTTCTTCCATATGTCTGCCAATGATTTTCTAAAATGGTCTGTACAGATTTTGTTTTATCAGTTGCTAAAATGCTTAACCATGCCAAAAATGCCCAGATTCCATCTTTTTCACGTATGTGATCAGAACCAGTACCAAAACTCTCTTCTCCACATAGAGATAGTTTGCCACTGTCCATCAAATTTCCGAAAAATTTCCAGCCTACAGTATAGATAATTTTATTCCATAAATTTCAACAAAAAATAAATAAATAAATTACCCCCTAATTTGACGCATTGAGAAAAAAATAATCAGAAAAAATATGCTTTATATATAAACAAAGTACAAGAATTATTGTACCTTTATTTTTAAAATATGCTTTATATATAAACAAAGTACAAGGTTTATTAATCCATTTTTGTTAGTTTCCAATATTTAAGTTAAAGCAATAGATAATTTAACTATTATAAAATTATTTTTTTTAGTACTTAGTAATTTTTTACAAATGAAAAAATATTGACAAACACATTTTTTCAACAATATTAAATAAATCAAAGATGGAAAAATATTTACAAATAAAGCTGAGGTAAAAACAAGATGGTTAGACTTAAAAAAAATACTAGATCAAAAGTTTAAATAGAACAAAAATGGACCAACAGAGGCAACAACCTGTAGGGTGCTAAATCTTTACAACACAATTTAGCATACAGATGAAATCTCAAATGATTGGATGAAATGTTGGATAATAAAGATTTATAAAGGTAGGAGAGGTATGAATGTGATTCATATTAAGGAGAAAAATTGCTTGAACAGATAATAAAGAATTTATATAGAACTATTGTTAACAATGTATAAAGCAGTTTATTCATTTAGAACAACGAACGCCATGTTTATTATAAAGCAAGATCAAATAAGATTTTTAAAAAATAAAAATAAAAAATAGATATTAGGCTGGGTGAATAAAAGTGAGCAATTCCTTTTACTCAGTAATTGGTCAGCTTTAAGTGAATAACTTTAAGAATTTTGCTTAAGTTTTTTATTCATGTTAAGCTGAGCAATTATTGAGTAAATTGCTTAAATTTACGTGAATAAAAATTTGAACAAAACTGCTGATGTTTTTATTAACGTAAAGCTGACCGATTACTGAGTAAAAGCAATTGCTCATTTTTATTCACCCGACCTAATGAGCATTGAAGTAAAGGTTGGTGCGCTTCAGGGTTCAATACTTGTTTGCTTTTTATATTGATTTTAAAACTTTCTCTGAAGAGCTTTCTCTGAAGAGCTTTTTCTGAAGAACTTTTTCTGAAGAACTTTCTCTGAAAAACTTTCTCTGCAGAGCTTAGATTTGATTTACCTTAGAAGATATTTTATGTAGTTAATTTATGCTTAATTGCAGAGACAAATAAAAAGAAAAATTAAAACTAAGAGATCAGTGTGAAAAGATGTATTCAATGATAAAGGATTCTGTTAAGGAAAAACAATGCTCAAGATTACGTATATTAGAGAAAAAGCATTATGAGAAATGTTAAATCAAAAGAAAATAAAGAATTATAACTTTAAGTAAACATATTTTTTTAACAATATTTACTGTCACAAAAATCTTTACTGTCACAAAAATATTATATTTAATAACATAAATTTGACTATTTTTTAGAACTATAATTATATTTTTATATATATATGTTTCACATATCTATGAACCTAGTTTATGATTGTATTTTGGCACATTGCAATCTTAAAGTATATTTATGAAAGCTAAAAGACAACTTTTCCTCTAAACCGAAGATATGTTCAGCTTGCAGTTATAATTATAGCTAAAATATTATGTATATAAGATAATCAAAATAATTAAAAACATTAACAAAAAAAAAAAGTTAAAAAAACGCATGATTATCCATGCAGTTTTTGCGATATAAACATTTGCCAAAGCAACTTTAAAAGCATTTACCTCATTAACTATTTAAAGAGCTGAATATATTTCAACATTTAATTAAATAAATATATGTTGTGTGTGTGTGTGTGTGTGTGTGTGTGTGTGTGTGTATATATATATATATATATATATATATATATATATATATATATATATATATATATATATATAAATATATAGATATATATATATATATATATATATATATATATATATATAAATATATATATATATATATATATATATATATATATATATATATATATATATATACACACATATATAATATATTTATTACATTTTTAAAAATATACACACATAAATATATAGCATAAATTTCAGGTGGATACAAAAAGATCTGGTCAACATTAAATTATAATTTTACGAAAACCATTTTATTTAAAACATTATTTTAAATTAAATGTTACTTTCTTATTTGAAATTGTGTTAGTAAACTTTTGTTTACAAATCAAAGGTTTGCAAAATGTTACAAAAATACATTGAGGTGCATAAATAAGTATTGTAAATCCATCTACTAAAGTATCAAAAGAAAGCCCAGAAATAAAAAAAAGGAAACTAACCATGATTCTACAAAGCTAAAGTAAATGATCAGTTCAGTAGCAAGGAAACCTGTTACAGATTGAGATCAAGCTACTTTAAAACTGAAACTTTAAGACTTAAAATTCTTACTTATGTGTAAAATTCTGAAATTAAAACATTTCATAAGAAAAATGCACCTAAGAGATGGTATAAGATGGAAAAATTGAATATGCAATCAAGTTGATCAACATAATGGTAGATAAAATTGTGCATAACTGAAAATGTTGAAACATTGCAAGACAAAATGTATGCAACAATGGTAAAAACTTTTACTATGAAAATAAAGTTAAATCTGTCAATGATGAATATTTAATATACTCAATAAAAAAATTGCAAATTTTTTTGTGTGGCAAGCAGTTTGCAACTGTGGTATGAAGCCCTTTCATTTCTTTCACTAAGATAACATTAACTGTGATCTCTACATAAAAAAATAAATAAAAAAGTAATGAATGCTTCCAAAAAGTAATGAATGCTTCCAAAAAGTAATGAATACTTCCAAAAAGTAATGAACGCATCCAAAAAAGACAAAAATGCACAAATGGCAATGTATCTTTTATACTGACCTAGCTTCTCACTTTTCTGAGAATGTTCTTAAGTGGTGCCAAGTTTATAATGTTGAAACTGTTCCTAAAGATGTGAATCCTTCCAACCAGAGCACAAGATTAAAGATTTTTGAGCAATAGTAAATAGAATTCCTCATAAATATTAAGTTGAAATGCTAATTATTGTGCACATATTTAATTAAAAAAAAAACTCAATATTGACGAGATTTTTCATTTCCACTTGATATATTTATAGAAAATATATATATTTATGTTTTTAACATTTATACCTGTAGGAACCTCGTATATTGGAATATTAAGAGCAGAAGCTACTTGATCTAAAGCAGCACTTGTAGGCATACTACGAGCTAAACCTTTTAATCCCTCTTTAAAAAAAGGAATGCAGGAAGCATTTGCAGCAATAACAGCAACAGAGTCTGATGGATTCACAAAAAAACCATATTGGCCAAGTAACATGTTGCGATCCTATAAAAATCAGAAAAAATCTACTAAAACTACATATTAGGACTTCTCTATATATATATTTTTTTTAATATTATTCTAATATTTTTTTAAAAATACTTGCAGCTATCTACAAACAAAATACAAACAAACAAAAAAGTAACAAATGAACAAATTAATCAAAAATAAAAAGACAAATTATGGACATGAAAAAACCCAAAAAAAAACAAATTCAGATCATGTGAATAAGCTAAAAACATATGTCAATTATTGACATAGCAAATCATTAAACATACAAAATTAAAAGAATAAAATTTTTTAGATTGATCATAGAAAGAAGGTCGATTAGAAATGATTTACTAGATGAATATTTTACCAAAGTCAAGTTCTTTACAAAAAATTGTCGATAAACATTTTTGCTTTGTTTAAGCAGTTTAAAACTGTAAACTATAGTAGGAAACTATACTTATAAATAAATGAAGCTTGTAAATACTATTAGAAAAAAAAAATCTTTTTATTTCTTTTAATTTCAACCCAAAATGGCGTGACTCAATAATAAAAAGTCTACTCTGTTTAGAAAATAAAAAATTTTATTTTAATAACGCCTAATGAAAAATTGCAATGAAAGCAATATGGTTTAGATACAAAAAGGTATCAAATTTCACTAGCAAATTAATTATATGGAATAAAAAAACAAATTTGTCTAAGAGTTTGCGCTATAAAATCAAGCGAACGATCTAGACAGTTGGCAAAAAACGTACCATCTAGGTCAGAAAGAAGCCAATACCTCAACAAATAAATAAAAATTATTTTGCGCAGCAATTTCTTTTACAGAAAAACTACTAACGTCATCGATTCATAACTAGTCATTATAACAGCTTTCCTAACTAAGTTTTCGTGGGTTGTTTTACAAAAAATTAATTTTGCGAAGCATATATAACACGAAGAAAATACTTTACATGTTCACAATAACTTGCAACAACAACATTCTTTCTTTATAATAATATTTGCCATTAACTCGCATGTAACAATCTTGACCAGTAATGGCTACTAACTATGCGTCAGATACGATCTACAGACACTTTCATCGTACAAATAAAATTTTGAATGGATGCAAGGTAGTATACTTCAAATGTATTGTACCCGAAAAAAGTAAGAGTAAAGAGTTATGCGGTACATGTGCTCGAATTAGCAACCTTATACGACACTTATACGAAAACATGCGGAGCTCATCATTATGTTAGAAAAAAAAAAATTAGAAAAAAAAATAGAAGAAAAGAATAAGAAGCAAAAATATAAAGCCATCAAAGGCAGCACTTCACAGCAATCCATATTAAAGTGTTTTGTACCACAGCAAATTAGTTTGCATATTACAAAAGATGAGTTTTTAGAACCCTTAAACCAGCTGGTTTTTGGTTGAAGGTCTTTCATTCCAGGTTCAATTTATTTTTTCGTTAGTAATTATTTTTTAATTAAAAAAAATCTAAACAATTATGTTTTTTTGGCATTTTTAAATTAACATTTATCATTCTAAAAACAATATCTATAGGCGTTTGATCGGGAACCTATTCAAAAGTTTTGCGGAAAAGTTTCATCTCATTTTGGATTTAAAATGAATAGAGATAATTTGAGAATTCAAATTATCGATCTTTCCAAAAAGCATCGTGAACAAATCAAAAACAAAATATCGAAAATGCTAATTTATTTGAAAGTCAATTCTACATCAAGGCATATGCGTCACTACCTCGGTATAAATGCCCAATACTCGAACAATGATGAAGTTGCTGTGATCAATCTTGACACCATTAGTACGAAGGGAAAACAAACGGCGGAATAAACAAAAAAAATTATTGAGAAGTGTTAAGATAAGTTTGGAATCAATAAAACTAATATTTTAGGCCTCAGTGTTGACAACGCAGCAGTGAGTAACATATTTTGAAATTCACTATATTTTTTGTTAATGAAAACAATTTTAAATTATGTGATTAAAGTTATTATTTTCCATAAAATCATGTAAAAAATAAACTATTTTGATAAAATCTTTTGTATACTGCAAGGTATGTTCACTAAACTTTAAATTAACTATCGAAATCATATTTAATATCTTTAGGTGAATAAAAAGTTGGTGCGCGACTTTGGCATCAGCGCAGTTGAGGAAATTGTAGATGACAAAGACAATTTTTCAATAGAAACTGATAAATTTGACAAAGATGGTTGTTCTAAAGCAGACAATGCGGCAGCAGTCTTAGCAAGTGGAGTTACCAGTAGCATGAGTGTTATACATCTTCAAAGATATGCTGTCCACACTTTACAGCTAGCCGTAAATGATGCACTGAAAAAGCCGACAATAAAAAATCTAATTAACAATGCCAGAAATGTTGCCAAAACTGCAAGAAATTCAAAATGGATTGACTTCTTCAGGGACCAGACTCGACATCTCATTCCAATTTTAGATCAGGCTACCGGTTGGTCTAGCCAGTTCAATATGATTGAGAGGCTAATTAAGTTAAGTTATAAGTTATAACTTCGAAGTTTTGATCAAAGTGTATAAACCAGTTTTCTAACCGGTATAATACAAATCCAATTATTTCAATGGTAATGACATTTATACTACTTAATAATTTTTAAATGTTAGTTTATGCAAATATTTCTTTAATAATCTTTATTTAAGTAGTTAATAACATTGTCCATATTTTTAATGAATTTTTCTTTTCTTCTAGATTCGACCAGTAATTTAAAATCTAAATATGCAAAAAGAGGCTCCTAAAGAATTTAATGTGCGACCATGTTTTTGGGGTATGTGGGAGAAATTGAGAGATGTATTGCATATGGCACGCGATCTTACTACTCGTCTTCAACGTGAAAATATCACCGCAGGCGAATTTCTTTTCGATTGGAATTCAATAAAGTGTAAACTTGACGGGAAGGACAGTGACATAGCCAAAGATTTGCAAAAAGGAATGGATAATAGAGAAAGCGCGCTACGCGAAAATCAGTTGTTTCTTGCAGCAGTTTACGTTGATATTAGGCATGGCTGTATGTTAACAGCTACTGAAGACAAGGTTGTTTTTTTAATAAAATTTTATTTATATATATTTATTTATTAAATTTAATAAATGCATATTCCAAAAAATATAAATACTTCTATAGATAACTGCAGCTGATGGAATTTAGAAAATACATTACAAACTAATTCAACTCGCTAATGAAAATAAGAATAATGAACTCAATAAAACCAAAAAAGCAGTAGAGCGCAACTCTTTTGCAGTTTATGTGTCAGACTTTAGTTCAGAAAATGAGGAGAATGCTTCACCAGTTGCAAAGCGTCAACCAAATTTATTTAAGTTGTGTGAATAGGAGGTTCAAGAAAATTCTTTAGAAGAACAAAGGCAGGTTCAACTAGATGTAATCGAAAAGGAATTTCGACTATGTCTAAAAACAATTCCAGAAATCCGTTCATTGTTTAAATACAAATCATCCAACTTAAACGAGTTTTTAAAACTTAACCCATTAAAATCAATTGAGGAGTTCCCTGAAGTTGTACGGGATGTCTGCCATGTCGCTTTATCGCTACCCATATCCCAAGTCAGTGTCGAGTGTCTGTTTTTAGTCTTAAAGCACAAGACACCAGACCATTGTAGTCGATTTACATCTGATTTAATTGATGATATGCTTTTTTTTTGAACAAATGAGTTTTTTATTTGAACATTTTTTGATGATGTAAATATTGTAATATTTTGTCCTTGTAACTTTATAATTTAGCATGTAATTAATGCAAAAAAGCATTTAAATCTTTTTATAATTTTATGATCATGTGGTTTTAAATAATCTGAGAAATCTGTGTGTACAAATCAAATAAAAATCTTTGGAGTTATATTGTTCTTATAAATTCTTACGATCCAGCAAAAGCGGGACAAATTAACTTTTGGATTTAAGCAGCCGTGGCGCAGTGGTAGCGCACTTTCCTAAAAAAATAAAGGATCCGTGGTTCAAGCCCACCTTTGGTTTTGTGACATCTGTTAGGAAGTAGGAGTGAATTTCATAAGGACTTCTTAGGGTCAGGCCTTGCGATAAAGCGTCAGGCGATGTGAATTTTACGTCGTCCAAGAGCGATTTTGCGTGTAGCTAGGGCTATTTGCGTCAAGCAAAAAATTTTTTGTTCGAGTATATTTAAAAAATATTTTTGAGCGGAATTTTAATGAAGTAATTTACGATTATTTTAACATTTAATAAAGTATTTTAAAAACCGCATGCAGTTGAAATAAAAGTTTGAATAAAAAAAAATTAAATATGCTCATTATTTACAAGTAGAAAAAATTCAGATTAAAAAAAAAATTTTAATCTTTTATGCTAACATTTTAATAAAATTATTCAGCAATAGCAAAGTTGTCGATAAAATTGAACAAAAATACTTTCTTTTAGTTTTAGATTTTAAACTTAAATAATTATTTTACAGGGGTTTGCTAGGTTTTAAAATTATTCCATAGATTTAAAAATATTTATTAACTGTTAGACGTATTTAAAGTATTTAAGAGTAATTTTGAGGAAACATTTTAAAAATTGGTGAGCGCAAATAAAAAAAAAAAGGATTAATATTAAAACGTATTCTACTTGATTCAATAAAAAAGTACAGTTATTAAAATTTTTGTAAAAAGTAACTCAAAAAAATTACTTAAATAATAACGATCACTTTTATGTTAAAAGTTACCAAAACTCAACGAAGCGTGCTCAAGAACAGCTGCTGAAAAATAAAACGTCAATAGTTTTTCGAATAATTTTTAATAATAATTTTTAAGAATAACTTTTTTGCTGAAATATTTCTTTTATACCTAAAAGATTTTTATTCTAACATTTTATTTTATTTTACTTGAAATAAAATTCCTTGTTAACATTAAAAATCTATTCAAAACGTTTGTTTAAGTTTTTTATTAATACGAGTGATTGTGCTTGTCAACCGCTTTATGAAAATAAATAAAAATAAATAAATATTATATAAAATCGCTTGTAAAAATATTAGCTATTGCACAGTTTTTAATCATACAATGTTAAAATTTCCAGTTTATAACTCGCTGACTTTTTAAAAAGAAAAAATAATTATTTGAAAACTTTAAATTACATATTTAAGAAATAAAAAAAAATCAAATATTAGCATATTTTATAATCTTTTTTAAATTTAAGTTATAATGTTTTTTATTCGTTTAGTATAGACAAAACGTGACAAACGTTGAGAAAATAAACAAATGTTTTTACATTTTAAAAAACGAAACATTCCAAAACATTTTTAAATAATAACATTTCTACATAAACGATTTAAAGTAGTTTTGCGGTAATTAAGTAAATTGGTGCAGTTAATATCGATAAATATGAAAAGCAAATAAAAAGAATTTAATGACGTCAAAAATCACGTTGTGCTTATGCGTCGCGCAGTTCTTATTCATCGCAAGGCCTGTAGGGTACATAAAACAAACATATATATAATTCATAAGAGGAAATATTATTGGTACCCTCTCATTTTTTTCGGAATTTTCGCGTAAAATTTTCAGATAATAAAAACCCCATATTTAAATGAAGAAAAAAAAATTATTCCGGAGTCCATGGAGTCCATGATTTTTGAGCTCGGAGTCCGGAGTCCCAAAAAATCGATGGAACTTCGCATCCCTGATAATCAAGGAATGTATAATTTAGGATTGTATAACCAAGGACTATAAAATCAAGAACTGTATAATGAAGTTTAAGCGTTTTGTTAAGGCTCCTCAAAAATATTACATAGATTTTTAAATTTGATTTCAGCCTTTTTGCTAAAAAATATATTTTAATCTATGGAGGATATATACTTGCATTAAAAGTTTAGGCAAAATTCTCTAGGCTCGATATACCAATTTACTGGATTTTATATTTATAATCAAGGACAATGATACACTTTTTTATTATTTAAAAATTAAATCACTCAAATAGAGTACTGCATGTTCATTAACCTTTTTAATTTTTTATATTGTAGATTATCATAAAAAATGTGGACCACATAAAATTTATTAACTACATATATATGAAATAATTTTGAATTCTAAAATAATGGAATGATTATAAAATAAATATACACATAAAAATATATGTTTATGAAATAAATATATAGTCTCACCCCATCTCCATCAAAGGCACCACCAAACATATAGTTACCTTCTTTCATTAAAGAAACAAAGTCTGCAGCATATGTCATGTTAGGATCAGGGTGAAGACCTATTTTATATAAAAAAAAAAGATTAAACTAAGCAATATTTATATTAGGATTTTGAAAAAATCTATAAGAAAAACTTAATTTACCTCCAAAGTCTTCTTTAGGAACTGAGTTAATTATAGAACTTTCAGGAAGGTTAAGCTCTTTACACAATATTTGCTTTAGGTATGGACCAGTAACTGTAATAATATTAAAATATATAAATAGAACATGCAGCCCTTGAAATTTGAAAAAATGAGGTCATCAATATTATGCCGACCTTAATCTGTTAGAAGTTGGCATCAGGTTGGCAAAAAAAATTTGATACACAGGTTTCACCATTAAACATAGAAACAAGGGCGGCAAATTTTTGCCAACCTTAAACACTTCTAGTTTGCAATTTGGTTGGGATTGCTGGATGCCGAACCTAATTCTGAGGGCTGAACATGTAATACCATTTGGAAAATTTAATTACAAAGATACAGAGATTTTAGCACATACATCAATTTAGAACTATTGAAAAATGGGATTTTGCAAGTACACCCCTTTCATAGCTTCAAAAACTATAGCAAATGATTGAAATAAAGCAATAGGCTGGGTGAATAAAAAAGAGCAATGGCTTTTAGTCAGCGATTTAGAAGTAGTAGCTTGTAATTTCTAAATGATTGCAACTTTACATGAAAATTTTTTTTCACAAAAACGGTCTTTTTGCGCAAAAGACTGTACTCTGAGCAATTGCTTGCATATGAGAAAAGTGCATGAATAAAAAATATAACTATAAAATGAGTTACAGCTATATATAACTATACAGCTATAACTCAAAAAATGGAAATTTCTAATTTTATGAGCACCTGCAATAGTTTTTTGTGTGTGGGAAAAAATTCTGTGAAAAAAGTATTGATTTTTAATAATTTAAGATTTATTAAGTTTTTAAAAGTTAAAAAAATTTGGTGAGATTTAAATCTCAATTCATTTGGTGGGACTCAAAACAATTTTTTTGTGTGTGAAAAATAAACAAACTTTATAAAATGTATATTTTATTGTACTTAAAGGAACTACCAAGTCCCGAGACATGTTGTGTTCATATTAAAGAGAATGTTAAAAAAAAACATCTGAGCAAATTTTTTTGATTAAAACTAATTAATAAATGTATACTAAGAAAAACAAATCTTGTTGTTTTAGTCGAAGCTCGTCTTCTCCATTTTTTGCGGTATTTTGAGTATGTAAAATAAACGCGATTTTCCAGGCGCATTATAAAGACTTGATAATTTATTCAAGCGCGTTTAATTCATAGGAGTTTTAGTGCATGATGTCATTTTTTTGTTTGTTTGTTAAAAACAGCAATTGTTATTTTTTACACACAATTTCCAAATCATATTCATTTTTATTATATTTTAAAGTTCTAAAATGTGTTTGTAAAAAAATTAAAAACAAAATAGTATTTTATTTGGGCAACTTTTTTTAAATATTTGTCTAGACCAAGTGTATTTTGATTTCTTTTGTTATAAGTTTTTCTTTTAAAATATTAGATAAAATAATTTTTAACTTAAATAATAATGCACTTTTATTAATTTACTTTGTTTTTATTAAAAAAAAAATTATTATCGCATTTTTTCTCTGATTTTCAAAAATGTATTTTTTAGTATTTAGGTGATCTTATTTCATTATTTATATTTCCATTATTATAACATCTAATATATATTATGGCGGGGACTTAAAAATTAAAAAATTAATATATATTAATTTTTATTTTACAGACATACATGGAAACATAATTAACTTGAATGTTCTTAAAACATCTTGCGGAAGAATAAAAAGGATTTTCGCGAACACTAAAAACCCACCAAATTTGCGAACTAACTAATTCTATTGGTTCAAAAAATACGCTGACTAAGCAAAATAAAGTTCTAGAGTATTCTGTTGAAATGTTTTAGGAATTGTATTATTTACAATTTGTTGCGTTTTGAGATATCTAGCATAAATTTTTTAAGAATATATTATCAAATAAACTATTACTTTAATATTATGGTTCATTCTCGGAGCCACATCTGTAAAGCCGTAAATATTATCATTTGTTTACAAAAATAAATGTTTTATAATATATATTTTTTAAATTGTCAAAATTTTGAAAGTTAATTACAAATTATATATTTTATTAGTATACTCTTAATTTTTATATCTTTTCTTAGTGCTTGGTTTAATTAATTGTTTGTTAGATTTGTAAAAAACTAAAGAACAATTAATAAAATAAACATTTAATAAAATAAGTAACTATAGTAGTAAAATTTAATAGTAAAATTTTTAAAGAATTTCTAGAATATTTCCAATGACGTCATGCTCTAAAACTCCTATGAATTAAACGCGCTTGAATAAATTTGAATAAAAGTCTGTATAATGCGCCGGAAAAATCGCATTTATTTTACATACTCAAAATACCACAGAAAATGGAGAAGACGAGCTTCGACTAAAACAACAAGGTTTGTTCTTCTTGGTATACATTTATTAATTAGTTTTAATAAAAAAAAATTTGCTCAGACGTTTATTTTTAACATTCTCTTTAATATGAACAATGTCTTGGGACTTGATAGTCCCTTTAACACAGTAAAATACTTGTTAGTTTAAACAGTAAAATATTAGATAGTTGCATCAAAGTAAAATATTGTACCCATCATCATAAAGTCATGTAAAAACTATGTTTAAATTGGTATTTAAACAAATTTACACATAAAATAGTTTCAGCCTTTCTTTTGAGAGGTATGTCAAACAGTTTAGGGTTTTGACAGGTATGCTTAAATGGTTTAGGGTTTTAGGTCAAGTAGTTTAGGGTCTGTAAAATGTGTAAGTAAAATATACTTCAAGTCCTACCTCCATTCATTCCATTTGCAATCACTTTAAATTCACCAGATGATAATAAATCTTTTAAGCGATCAAAATCAAATATAGATTTTACCATAGCAACATAGTCTTCAACTGAATCTATTACTTCAACTATAAACTTATGATCATCAATATCAAATTGAAATTCATTGACTTTATCAATCTGAACATCTTTTAGGTCATAACATATTTTGTAGGAGTTGATAGATAGAGTATATTTGTATATCTCATTAGTAACAGATTCTGGTGCTGGCCCTATAAAGTTTGTGAATTTAATTAATAAAGGATTTAAGGTAATCAAAAGGTAATCAAAAAACAAATAAAATAAAGAAGTACACATAAACATCACTTAAGCAACATTTAAATATCTAGAGGACAATGATATTGTCAAACTAACAACATTATCAACAGTGTTGACTTCCTTGTTTTCTTATTTTTGTCATAAGCCCTTTGAATTGAATGAAATCAAACTAAATTTAAAATTGAACAATTGGAATTTATAGTTCAAGGAATTGTTCAGTTGGTCACTGACAAACAATTTAATGAATTTATCAAATCCAATGTTTATAAATGTAGCATAAGGCTTAGAACAATTGATTCTGCCATTTTGAAAAGGACATAAACTTAAAACCTTTTAACAGTTTAAAAATTTAAATGAAAAACTTCTGTATGATTTATATATTTTTTTTATAACAAATAAAACTCACGAAAGTTAAATGTTTCAAATGGAATTGAGTCCTTTTCAAAATGACAGGTTTGATTAACTACAAGATATAATTATTTAATAGTTATTTATATAATAATTATTTAAAAATACTAAAACCAAAATTAAACTCAGAAAATCATTAAAATGTTTTTAGATTAAATAAGAATTTAAAAAATTATCCTAACACTAATTGAAACTGAACAAAACCTTTATTGGTATCTGTTAGCTACTTTTTAAATTTAATTAATTTAAATTGGAAAAAATTAGTTTTAAATAGTATATGATGTTGATATATTGAGCTTAATTTCAAATTTGCATATTATTATCAACATAACAAAAATTTAAAAAAATTTTTTTTGAATCTACTTCAGCAAGAAATCTCTCAAATTAAAATTCAATGTTGTAAAATAGTCTGACGAAATTTAAATAACTAGATTACATTATTTTAAACAATTATTACAACAATTATTACAATAAACCCACTGAACCAGAAGGATATGAAAATATTTTTTTACAATTCAATAACTCAAACAAGTATTCTATGAAATTTTACATAACAAATATTCATTTTATGATTGCTCTAACAATGGTATGAGGGTGTTAACACTGATTTTCCCCCTCAAAAGATTATTGATTTTTTTAATTTTTTAAAAATTCACTTTTAAAAAATATTTAAAAAAATTTTAATTTTGAATTGTAAATATTATTACATTTTTAATTGTAACCATTATAAATATAAAAAATTTATAAAATCTAAAACAACCATCTTATACTATGCTTATATTCTCTCATTTTGATGAACATTTCATCATGCTTTATAAAATTATACAATAATAAGCCTAATTAATAATAATAACTACTACTAATAATAATAATAAATAAAAATAGCTTTTACTTGATAATTAAAAAAACAAAAACAAAACAATAATTGTAGTAAAAACAATCAAAAATGTACCTCCATTTGATATATTATACTTGATACCAAAATCTCCATCTTTACCCCCAGGATTGTGGCTAGCAGTTAAGATGATTCCACCTTAATAACAGATGTAAATTTAAACAGATGTACAATGTAAATTTTGTATAAAATTGTATAGAAAAAAAGTTTATTAATTAATTATTAATTTTAATGAAATTAAATTATTACTTTTATTAAAATTAATTTAGAAAATTTAAATAGGACAAGATTAATAACAGGAAGTAGAAATACAGAGTCCCAGATACCAGATTTGAAAATCACAAAAAGATTACTTTTTCCTGTTTTTGGTATCCAGGAGCTCTAAAAGTATAAAAAAAAGCTTATAGACTAATAGAAAAAAATTTAGGATTTTTGAACCTAGAGTCTTTAGGTATAGTAGCGGCAAGGACTCTGAGCTTAAAAATAATAAGTTCCAAATAATAAGTTCCACGTCCAAATAATAAGTTCTTAATAATAAGTTCCAAATAATAACTTCTAACTAAATAATAAGTTCCAAGTCATTAAATCTCATGAATTGTTTTCTGATAGCAGATCATGAGTCAGCCAACATTTTTAGAGCTTCGGGATTCCAGAATCGTTAAATTTGAGTTTATGGACACTACCCTCATTGTCATCATTATTTTTTTATATCACTGTCATTAGTACAGCCCTATGACCAAATTAATGCCTAACTACTACTATCACATTCTTTTTTCCACACACACAATATATTCTGTTTTTTTATCTATCTTTTGCAATTATAATCAAACTAAAGAAAAGAGTTTATTAGAGTTAAAATTTACTGTAAGTCTCAAGTAGTGATGGAGAAAAGACATTTCAAATAAGATTCTAGCCTAAGACAACCAAAAGCTATTTTTATCAAAAATGAAAATTGTGGTTAAAAAATTAGGAGCTTTCTAACAATCCTACATTTTTTATGTAGGATTGTTAGAAAGGTTATCAATCAATGGTTATTGATAAAAATAAGAAATAATATATTTAAATGGAACTGTTGAAGTTACCAAGGGAGAAGAAAAGTATTTCCTTTTTACTGTTTATGGAGGAAACCGGCATGCTAGACTTTGTATAAAGCCTAACATGCCGGTTTGTATTAAGTGTAAAAATGTCATTATTTTTTTCTTAGTTTTCTTATTTTTCAAAACAAAAAAAAAACAACACTTAAACATTACCTACCAATAGCTTTTGTTTTTCGTATTATACATGATACAGCTGGTGTTGATAAGATGCCATTAGTACCAATAATAAGTTTTTGAACCTAAAGAATATTTATTTATTAAATACTAAAATACATAAACTTTATTATTTTAGATTTCATTGCATAAAAGCTATCATTTTAACAACAAAAAACTAAATTCGATTAATTTATTATATAATTTTAAAAAATAATTTATATATTGTTGTGTTTTTCATAAAAGTTGTACTAAATTTATATCAAAATTTTGAAACTTTAATTTTTTTATAACAAAGAACTTTGTTGTTGATAATTTATGGAACCCATCAAATCTTTCAGGGCCATGTGTCACTTTTTAAAATACTAAAGTTGTTATGCACTTTTTAAAAACTATGTGGGAAGAATAGATAACTTTAACACAGATGAACTCATAGCTTTAATGCCTCTACTCTCTTCTTTAATCCCTTACACAAAGTAGGGAAAATGAGTATGAGCAAATGAGAAAATTATAACTTTTTTTTCTATTTTCCAACATTTAATGAAAAACTGGAAGGAAGAAAAAAACAATATTCTACAATTAGACATGTCTTCATACAAGGTGTTTCTATTTCAACATAAAGAACTTATAAGCATGACAATTGATTCTGTTCTAAAAATTTATTGAGAGAATTTTTTATTCCAGTAGTGATAAATATCACATGCGTTAAAACACATTTTATGTGTTTTGTAAATCAGGGCAACAAGCATTAATGAAATCAAAAGAAATGATTGAAAGGAATATGCTTCAAATGCGTTATTCCTCTAAAACTAATATGCCATTAAGATGGTAAAATATGACTGTGGCAAAATTATTCACCAAATCCATTGTTATGCCCTGTGCTTTAGATAAGGGAAGCAGAAACTAATCAAGATTTGCTAGATCTAGTTCACCAGTTGCTCTTGTTGTCCCAATTGCTGATAATGTATAAGAAGAATTAAATGAAGGAAGTGCGTTGTCTGTTTGGCAAAAATTATTTTAATGTCAAAATTTATATTAAAGGTATAATGAAGGATTTAAAACTTAAAGACTCGTCAGTGGGCTAAGAGGTGCAGATTGTATGTGCAGATAGCATACTTTGCAAAACAAAAACTAGTAAATGGACAGATATAAGGAGAGTTAGAGAAGGATTCCTGATTGATTGATCATTAAAAAAAACATAGATGTTGTACAAAAAAATATTTAAAAAGGATGGCATCATTCCTACTAAAACTGAAAGTTTTGCCGCGAGAAAAGGACTGACTAAAAATCCACAAACCAAATTTAATCAAAAAAGCATATGTATTACACATTCATATATAAATGGGAGTACCTGGTTTTTAAAACTACTGTATCAGTGTTTTTTCAACCAAATGTTGATTATCAAAATTTGGTTGAAAAAACAAGACCATCTGGTAAACCAATACATAATGTAAGACTAAATATATATTGAACTCTGCTCAAAACAGAAGGACATCTACAACAGGGTCATAAGGCTGAGAATATTTATTATCAAAGATCTATGCACTCTTATGTATATAAATAGCATGTTACTATTACATTCTCAAATGAGTGTAAAACTTTGTATAGTTTCTTGTTTAAGTAAAATTAAAATTACAAGAGTTATACAATAATTCTACACTTAATATTATTACAAATATGCCATCGGCATAAATTAACCACATTCTTCATGGAGTCCTTCATCACTAAGCTGAATTAACTATTCTTAATGATGATTATGGCCTTGGCAATTTATCTGAAGGTTTAGAAGCAAACAATAAAGATAAAACAAACTACTTAAAGCTTATTTCTCATAGACATCTAGAACAGCTTACAGATGTAAAAAGTCGCTATTTAGAGAGATTTAATCATGATGTTTTAAACCAAATTACACATTCACGTCTTTTGAAGTTATGCCAAGATTGTTGTTTAAATGAGCATAACAAGCAGGTTTCATGAGCATAACAAGCAGGTTTCATGAGCATAACAAGCAGGTTTCATGAGCATAACAAGCAGGTTTCATGAGCATAACAAGCAGGTTTCATGAGCATAACAAGCAGGTTTCATGAGCATAACAAGCAGGTTTCATGAGCATAACAAGCAGGTTTCATGAGCATAACAAGCAGGTTTCATGAGCATATATTTTCAAAACCAAAGGGATATTTTGATGATATGTTTGAAAACCTTATTTATGACTAGTTATTAGTATTTTTTATTCTTCAAATATATGCAGCAATATCAAACCATCTTTTCTTAAAAATTTATTATACTTACATTATTTTAAATCTAAATTTGGTCAAATACTATTTTATTACTAGCTAAATAAAAAACAAAAATTGTTTTTTTGAAAAAATTTGAAATCCCAAAAACAATTTGTTTTTAATTACTAAACCTCTTATTAATAAATATTAGGAACCAGAGCCTAAATTGATTATTCTTTTGAATTTTCTTTTTTTTAAGTATATGTAATAATTTATTCTTTTAGCTGTCATAAAAAAAAATAATAACTTTGAACATTTATCAAAAAACACTAATTTGTCTAAAATGCCTAATATGGTTGTCTAATATGGTTATTTGAAGCCAGTCTACAAATTTAGTTTAATATCAAAAGTTTTAATTTTACTATAAACAACACAAAAATATCAAAAAATATTCAATGAGTTTTCTAAGATTTCTTAATCATTAGTTATGATTCTATTTTAAAAACTTTACCTTCTGGGTCCACTGTGGGATGATGAATCAACTCTGAATATAAATAATCCATGTCTTGGGGCTCTTGGTTGATAATCAATTTACCTATTTATCTTTAATCAAGATCGTTGTGAAATCGAATTTGATTTCTTGGACTATTGCTTTATGTACTTTGGTTTACCAAGACTGTACTTTTCAATGTTTCTATCAAATTGAACAACCCCTTGCTCTTTATCCATCAACCAATATTGTTGCTATTGGCAAATTTAATGCTCATCACACTGAATAACCTAGCTCTAGTACTATTGACACTGCTGGTACTAAAGCTTAAAACTTTATCATTTTCAATTAGATGCTCAAATAGTGAATTTGTGACTTGTTTTTCAGACAGCCCTAATCATTTACCTGAACTCATTGTTTTGTGTCTTGTCTTTGACCTTAGCTAAAATTCAATTTCAAATTGTTCTGCTTTGGGTGGTTCTGAGCACGCTACGAGAATTGAACCCGTCATTTCGAAAAGGGCACAAGTCACACTTTTTTCAAATTTCACTTTTTAATGTAATTTTATTTATTCAAGTGTTTTACATATTTCCTTTGAAGGAGAAACATTTTCATATGCCACAAGTCAACTTTAAATGCAAATGAAAATTAAAGTCTGTTTGAAAATGGCACAAGTCCCGGACTTATGCCTTTTTCAAGTGAAACAAAGCGCAACTGTAGTGACGTAATTTCACTTTTTTTGTAACAAAAATGGAAAATTGCGAACTTGCTGAAAATGCATATAGATCTAAAAAAAGAGCGTCTGGTATAAGAAACAGTGGAAATTATAAACACAAAAAAATAAAAAAAGCCAAAATTGCTGGAGAAACTTATAAAAACCACAAAGGAAATGATGTGGCACCAAGTCAAACGGGTGCTTCTTGCATATTAGTTTTTTGTTCTTTAGAGTATGACTATATTTGTTCTCAAATTTATGCTTATTTACTCATGTTTTACCACCAATAATTGGAGGTAAAACATCTTTATATATAATTATTACAATATTACCTCAATAATTCTATTTATTTACAGATGTAATTAAAAGTGTATGGAGCTTGTATCTGAAGATTTTATAGAAAGTACAATTCAGTTTGTTAACAAATTTGATTGTAAAAATGCTCAAGACACATACTTGCAGTCATTGATTGAAAAGAGGGAAGATGGTTTAAATCTAAAGAACCTAAAAAAAAAGAACTTTTTTTTATTTATCACATTAAGATTGAAGACATTTATGCATTTTATTAAAAAAAAAGAGCACCCTATAGATTACAGAGGTAAATCTCTGTGCAATGCAACACATTACCTGGAGATACATTAACAAAAGTACGTGAGCGAAGTATGTACCTTTGAGCTGAATTATATTTTTAAAAATATTGGCAACAAAGCAAAGAGCTGCACCTATTTTCTGATGGTTGTACAGGCCAAAACAAAAATCATGCCACGGTCCGAATACTTTTATCACTGGTAGCTGAACTAGATAGCAATATAAATGAGATACAATATTACATACCAAAATAAGGTCACTCATTCTTGCCAAACGATAGAATGTTTGGAACAGCAAAACGACATTTAAAAAAATGATCGGATTTACACACCAACGATGCAAAAAAATGGTGGCTAAACCATTATAAGAAACTTGTGCTATCTGTGGATTCCTATAAAAAAGGAGTACCCAAGGACAAAAAACTTACTTTTGGTATTTCTAAAATTTCACATTTCACATTCTCTAATACCACAGCAGGTTTAGTGAAAACATGTGAATGCATAGATTGCTTAGTCAGTTATAATTTCCAGCTATTACAAAGGATGGGTACCCGGTCAACCTTACCATTAAGCAGTACTCCTGCATATGTTGGAAAATTACCTATCAATGAAAAAAATATATCAGATTTGAAAAAAATATGAAAAAATATATTCCATATTCAATAGAAGAGTACCAAAACTTCTATACAAAGGTTTTTGCTTCGCCAACAACTTCGGCAAACAATGAATTTCAAGAAATAATTAATGATTACCTAACAATAAATGTTTTTGTGTAATAATAAATCATTATTATTCTGATAATCTTTGGTTTTTTATATACAAAAAAGCGTTCATTTCGAAAAAGACATAAGTCCATAAATTTAAATTAGAAATATATGTGTTATATATTATTTTTTTATAACAAATAAAACTCTAAAAACTTATGTATAACTTTTATATATCTACTGTTATCTTTAGTTTCTTTAGCACCATAGACTTTTTTTCTAATAAAGTTATTTTTGTTGATCTTGAAAAGTTTGAATAAATGGACTTGTGCCCTTTTTGAAATGACGGGTTCAATTGTCTTTAAGACAGT